ACCCATGTCCAAGGTTGTTGAGAGGATGAGCTGGAAAAATTCCATGTACACTGCTGCAAACCCCTTAAATGAAGGGAGGAATATTAATGTGGCTATTTATTATTCTTATTATTTACTTGCTTTCTTAGCTGTCCTTCACCTGAAGGCCCCAGACTGGGTTACAACAATTTAATGATTGAAGCAAGAAGGAATCGGTCATATAAGTTTGGTATGGGTCTTGCTACTTCCCTTGCCATTTACCTAATAATCTATATTTTATATAGCTGTCTACAGCTATATTGTGTTCTATTAAGATATACCGTATTTTTCGCCCCTAGGGACGCACCGCCCCATAGGACGCACCTAGTTTTTTTTTGGGGGGGGAATAAAGAAAAAAAAATTATTTCCCCCCCAGGCGCGGGGGAAGCCCGAGCTTCCCCCGATCCCAGCCCCCAGAACAGCCTGCTATCCGCAAGCCTAGGGAGCTGCGCCGGTCTCCCCAGGCTTGTGGAGAGCTGTGCGAAGCCCGGGCGTGCTCTTCAGCGCGCCCGAGGCTTCGGAATGCAGGCAGCTCTGCGCAATCTTTGGGAGCCCGGCGCGGCTTGGCGCCGGGCTCCCGAGGGTTGCGCAGAGCTGCGTGGAGCCCAGGAGCGCAGGCAGCTCTGCGCAACCCTCCGGAGCCCGGCGCGGCTTCGGGCCGGGCTCCCGAGGGGTGCGCAGAGCTTCCTGAAGCCTGGAGAGTGAGAGGGGTGGGGGCGCCCCGGCCCCCCGCGCGCTCCAGGCTTCAGCGAAAGCCTGCATTCGCCCCATAGGATGCAAACACATTTCCCCTTCATTTTTGGAGGGGAAAAAGTGCGTCCTATAGGGCGAAAAATACGGTACATTTTCCTCATGAAATGGCTGCACCAGACTGATTTGCAGAGCCATGACGTTCTTCAGTTTTCCACTCAGACCTGAGTTGACTTTTTCAGTCAGCTTTGGTTGGTTATATATATTTTGCAGTGGAACTGTGTTGGGGTCAATTTGACCCCTTCACAGAATTGTAGTAACTCATGCAGGTCTATCACAAGTCATTTTAGGTTGAATCCTTATGTATCCTCAATCTGAACCCTTCTGTAGATCCTTCTCTCCCTGTTTATGAGTGGTTTCCTCAGTGTCATGTTACTCTCTTATCAAAAGAAGACCATTGGATTTCCATTTTATGTTCAGCAGCCCTGATTTAGAGTTTTGTGGATATTTAATGTACCTACAAGGGTACTTGGGTGGCGCTGTGGTCTAAACCACTGAGTCTCTTGGGCTTGCCAATCAGAAGGTCAGCAGTTCGAATCCCCGCCACGGGGTGAGCTCCTGTTGCTCGGTCCCAGCTCCTGCCAACCTAGCAGTTCGAAAGCACGCCAGTGCAAGTAGATAAATAGGCGCCGCTCTGGCAGGAAGGTAAACGGCGTTTCCATGCGCTGCTCTGGTTTCGGTGTTCCATTGCGCCAGAAGTGGCTTAGTCATGCTGGCCACATGACCCGGAAAAACTGTCTGTGGACAAACGCCAGCTCCCTCGGCCTGTAAAGTGAGATGAGTGCTGCAACCCCAGAGTCGTCTGTGACTGGACTTAACTGTTAGGGGTCCTTTACCTTTTAAAAAAATGTACCTACAGTAATATATGCAGGTATCTTCTCTATTCTTTTTAGTACAGGGGACAAGAAACTTGGTGGGCACACCAGAGCAGTCATCTTCAAGACACAGAACTCAAGCATGGTTTCTTTTAATTTCCTTTATCTCTCTCTTCCCAACTCTATGCACCCACTCACAATGCATTATCCAGAGGAACTGCTTTTGTAAAGCACCGGTGTGCAATACCACATATACCCACAACCCTGGGCAATGTTGATCTTGTGTAGCTGTTTGTATGTCCTTTCTTAAGGGTCAAGTGTTAGGGTTGAGTCCTTTGTCTTTTAGATTGTTCCATTATCAGCTTCCAGGATATTCTGCTCGTATTAAGATGAGCCACTAATCTCCCAAGGTAATTTTGCTCTATCCATAGAGCCTTTATCAAATGAAGAGCCCAGCAAACTACTCCACACTCCTGGACTGAAATTGGGGCCTCTGGCAGTGCTTTCACAATTTTACCCTCTTGGAGCAATAAGTTGCTGGTTAAGTTAAATCTCCCCCCCCCCCAATTCCCAGATTTGCTTTTCTAGCTCCAGCTGCTCATATTTATATATTTTATGATTTTGGCTCATATATGATGATACGGCCTTTATAGCTTTATGTCCCTATATCTTACGCCTGCATATGCTGGGGTTTTCTTTTATATTGTTTTCCATGAGCACCGTCTATTATTTCCGCAAAGCCCTTTTCTTTTCAGCAGCATAATGTTCTCTGATGTCCGACATCTGATTGTTATTGGGGATTTTGCTCTCGTAAATTAAGGTTAATGGTCTACGATGAGGACTAGTGTATAATAGTATCTTGGCAATAGGGATTTTGCTATTAACAGTGGATCAAATCTAGTATACACAAGTGTTGTCTCAGAAAAGAGAGCCAATTTCTTTTTATCCAGATGCATAAGCCTCCAAAAATAGACCAACCTGTGCCACAACATGCTTAAGATTCTTATACGGTTAGTATTATATCCAGGGCACAGTCTCTGTAACATTTACATTTCTTAGCACATGTCTTAATGTTTTTAGTTGTTCTAAAATCTTCTTTGCTACTACTTCTGATATGCTAAGATAACTCTTGTTGACACTACGTCAACTTTTCTATGCTGATACAGTGGTACCTCAGGTTACATACGCTTCAGGTTACATACACTTCAGGTTACAGACTCCGCTAACCCAGAAATAGTACCTCGGGTTAAGAACTTTGCTTCAGGATAAGAACAGAAATTGTGTGGTGGCAGCGCGGCAGCAGCAAGAGGCCCCATTAGCTAAAGTGATGCTTCAGGTTAAGACCAGTTTCAGGTTAATAACAGACCTCCAGAACGAATTAAGTACTTAACCCAAGGTACCACTGTAATTCTATTGATGTAGTTCTGCTGTCACAGGATTGATTCACATAATCCTTTCTATGTACAGAAAAAGAACTTGGCAGGCAACGTGTAGATCAAATTTGCTTGTAAGGCAAGTGATTACCCAGGACTCTATAAACATTTCAGTCGATGTCAACATTTTGTTGCGTCATTGCCACAGAGGTTTCCAGTTACACCAGGGGTTGTCAACCTAGTCCCTACCACCCACTAGTGGGCGTTTCAGGGTTCTAGGTGGACGGGAGGGGGTTCTACGGCACAAGCTGAATCCTCCTTCCATCAAGCACTGGTGGGCAGTAAGGAAATTTGACCATCAGGAAAGATGCATTAGTGGGCGTTAGGTATAAAAAGGTTGACTACCCCTGAGTTACACTAAAACAGTACACTACAGTTAAAAAACAGGCAGTCAGAAAACATTGTAAGGACCCTGTGAATTCTATTTTAGATAGCTGGTTATTCAGGTTGATGACATTGTCCCATTTAGTTTTCTGATTCTCCACTTTTCTAGAACTCTCCTTGTACTAGCTGCTTTATTCACACTGTTAATTTTTTCTTAAGACGTTTGCATCTCTTGTGCATCCCCATTCCATACCCTCCAACATTTCTCCAATGGAAATAGGGATGCCCTATTCATTTATTATTATTATTATTGTTGTTGTTGTTGTTGTTGTTGTTATTATCTGACCCTCTGATGGGGCAACCAGTTGCCCCAGTCACTCTGGGTGGCTTCCAACATGTATAAAAATATAATTAAACATTAAAAAACTTCCCTATACAAGGCTGCCTTCCCTTCAGATGTCTTCTAAAGGTTGTATACTTATCTCCTTGGCTTGGATGGCATAACTCCATACCTTCCAACATCTCTCTGATGAAAATATTGATGTCCTAAGGAAAAACGGGATGTTCCAGGATCAAATCAGAAACTGGGATGACTTCTGTAAATCCGGGACTATCCCTGGAAAATAAGGACACTGGTAGGGTCTGTCATTCTTCCTTCCCACTTTGCAGTTGTTTTGAGGCTGAGGGCTTCTTCTGTAGGCAATTGTCATTTCCAATGTATCCTGAGGCTGATTCAGATACAAAATTAAACCTTTGCTTAGGTTACATTAATGAGCCTTCAAGGAGCCTCTATTCTTTCCTAGTTTTCAAAACCCCATAGTTTGCCGCCTCGTTCAAATCAATAAATTGTGGTTTGTGCTTGCCTTGTTAACCCACTTTAGAAACCAGAATTTTATGTTGGTGAGTCTCAAACTGAGAAAGGAGGGAGTTGGAGGGAGTGTGTGAGCCAAAGGCGGCATGAATCTTCATTCATAAAATATCAGATCAGCCTAGTGAATTGGTGTGGTTGTCCCATGGATACTACGAGCACTTTTTCCTCAACACTCAGCCAAGTGGTGTAAGAGCTTTTTATCTCAGCCAGCTTTGGGCGGCTGACATTAAGTTGATGGGATGGGGTTTCAATATTTCTCCTGATTAGCCTCAAGGCTGCCGTTTAGTGAGAGTGGGGCAGTTGACTTCCCCGTGTTTCTGACCACAGGAGATTATTCTTCAGGAGTGTTTTACACATCTGGCAAAGCTCACTGGTTCTATGCTCCAAGTTAATTAACAATGAAACAATTGTTTAAACAATTAAATGGACCCAACTGCTAGGGTATGTACACCAGAGGGCACAAATGCCCGTGCTTCAAAAAAGAAGGAAGGAAGGAAGGAATAGAAAATGAAAAAAGAGAGAAGGGGGGCTCCTGTTTGTTTTGTGTTGATAACATTTTTATAGATTATATGAGCAAGCTCTGCTCTTTTACCTACAGCTCTTGCTCCCCACAACTTCTTCAGCTTTATCCAGGGTTGTCAATCATTCATTCACTATATTAACCTGATCTTCGTTCTGTCTTTTTTTAAAAAGCCGTTTCATTTTTACACTGAGATGTTCTCGGAATCCCACCACCATGGAACCAATATTGACACTGAAAAGAAGAGAGGACTGCTTTCATCAACCCAAATGTCATGGACGCAACTGGGTGAAGATTTTCCAGCTCCAAAAGCTGTGGTAGACAAGCCTCTTTCTCCACCACAACTTGGTAAGAGGTTCTATGAGGTGTTTTAAGATCTTAGTATCTAAAGGTCCCTTATCTTCCTCACTTGGGAGCCAATTTGGTATGGAATGAAAATCAGAAGCATTGTGGTGGCCATCCTATTCATATTTAGCTGGGAGTAAGTCCCACTGGACTATATGGGGCTTATTCTAAGTAGACATGTATTGACTTGTACTCCGTGTCACGTTGGTGGACTCCATGACATGATTCTTTCCCATACTCGTGCTTTCCTAGTTTCTGGAAGGAGTGAGACTGCAGTGTGAAGGAACCTCCTTAGGGCCTGTAGATGTTCTCATTGTGCAGTGATGTTCTTGTGCATTGTCTACAGATGAAACCTTCAGACTCATATTTCAAACAATACATAACAGTTATGCAGTAGATAGTTGTGTTGCTTCATTGGCAGGGTGGGGGGAATCAAACAGCCACAGTATGGCAATTGAGTTGTTTGGTCACATTCTAGCCAAATAGACATGAGAAGACACAGGTTCACATCCCCAGTAACTATGAAACCTTGTGGTTGGTTCTGGGCCAGATACAATCTGTTTGCCTAACCAACCTTGCAGATGTTGTGAGAATAAAATGGAGGGGAAGAAAGAACCATAAGAAAATAAGTAATATTCTGCTGTGTCTAATTTTTAGTGGACCACAAAGAAAAAAACCTTTGCAACTGGATGGACTCTGGTTTCTAGTAAGTATGAGCAGTCCTGAATAGCATGATCAATTTTAAAAAACTAATCCTTGCAATTGTATGGATAAAGTGTTTCAATATAAAGAGCCAACTGTACATCTAATAATGAGATGATTGGAGTGGATAAAAATCTCATTCACACACACACACACAGAGAGAGAGAGAGAGAGAGAGAGAGAGGTTGTTTTTTTTTAAAAGGAAATGCCTTGTCTCTTTTAAACAATAAGCTTCATAACAAATGATCTAGTTATAAACGTATTGGTACTAGACACATGGATACGTTCTATGTAGATGAAGAAACATGGATATTTACCAAACATAGGCATTTCATTTCCATCCACACACTTTAGCTCAAGCGTCTAGATTACGTCTCCCAGTAGCTTCGTTTATGGACACAGGGGACCAAATGGGATTCTGAAACACCCCACAGACCAAAGACCATAGAATGGGACATAAGTCCTTCAGCATTCCTCAACACAGGTTATCCACCCATGTGGCCAAGGCCAGTTCTGTCCCCAAGCCACATCAGATATCAGACAGGAATGCCTCCAAAAAAGCAGTATAATCCCCCAAACACCACCTTTTCCACTACCTTACTCAAGGGTGGAACATAAAATACTGGCCAATAGTAGTCCATAATGAGAGGATCCACATTTGTTTTCTGTTTTCTTAACAAGAGTCTTACGGCAGACTCTCGTTTCCATCACCCAAATTACTTGAAATCCCCCCATTTTGCTGATTGTCAGTGGGATAACAACATGAGGAAGCATCTTGGCTCAACCTCATGAGAGAAAGACTCTCAGAAACAGTTCACCAGGGCAGTAGTCTAGTTGTATGAATGGGTTTCTGCCCCAACACCCTGAATCTGTTCCCAGACAGCTGCCACCTGTCTGCTTTCTAACAACCAGTCCAGGAGTGGTACTACCTTTTCATCTCCTCCCCCTTAGTCTCCACGTGACTTTTGTTGTATTGAGCAGGGAGCACCTCTCATTGATTCAAGCTCCTCCTAGTGCGAATCTCTGTGCCGTCTGTGTTTCCAGTCCCCATGGATGCCAGCCAGCACTGCGCTGGGGGGGAAACATGTTTTATTCATCCTGGTCAATGAATCAGAAAGAACTTTTCAAAAACTACCCTTACCAGAGTTCATAGGAACAGGAGCATCTTAGAATGTGGAAGCAGGTTAAAAGCACCCTTCAACGTTGACCTTGAATGCTGTTTTATCTCCTGCCACCTTAGCAGCTAAAGAAGGGAAGGGCAGGGCATTGGTGGAAATTATGGCTGCCCTGAATCTTTCTGAGCTAAAAGGGTTTATATGCTACTCATAATAAATTAGGGATTTCTGAAAGGAGGGAGGTAGTTTCCCAAGAACGCACACATTTCCTAAGTAACCTGTATCCATAATAACCAGCAGCCTTTATTTTTTATGAAACTTTTATTGGCATGTTGTCTTAATATATGGTTACCAGACGTCCCTGTTTCCCGGGGACAGTCCCTGGATTTACAAATTTGTCCCTGGACAAAATCCGTCCCCGGAATGTCCCCGGATTTTATTTAATGTCCCCGGATTTATATTTTAAGTGCTGTAGATTTATTAGTAGGGAAAGAGTGTTGTGTGATTGGTTCAATGGCACAAGACACATCATATGGGGACTTCCGGCGAGGCAAAATGGCGGGCACCATGGCAGCGAGCAGCTCCTGAAGCCAAACAGAGCCAACTGTGCTACCAAGCTGGCTCCAGGCTGCTGACTGCCGCTGCTGCTGCCACTGCCGAAGGGGAACTGGGGGAACCCCTGACACACCCCCACCTACCTACCCCTGGTATCCAAATCAAGCTGGGAGTGAGAGCACCCAGCCAACTGCCCAGCGGTGCTCCAGGGTCAGGAAAACCCTGAAGCTGATGCAGGGAGAAGGAGGAGAGGAGAAGGAGAAGGAAGAGAGAGAAAGAGGAAGGAGAAAAAAAGGGGAGCCACTGAGAAGGAGAGGTAGGAGAGCACCAGGAGGGCAAGGACATGTGGCTGAGCCCAGACCTGGCCCGGCCCGAGCCTACTCCATGGCGGCTAGCACTCCAAGAGAGCAGGCTGGGGCCCAGAGGAAGGCCGCGTGACAGAGGAGACCACAGAAAAGATTACATCTTAAAATAATAATAATAACTTTTTTTCTCTTTTCAAAAAAAAAAGTGTCCCCAGATTCTTGGAAAAAAATCTGGTAACCTTACCTTAATAGGCAAACTTCCTGGATTAATGGTCATCCAGGAACTAGGATTATAAAAAATAATAATGTTAAACTAGCAAGCAGAATAATATAAAGAAACTATATCAGACTGGCAAACTTCCTAAGCAGTCGCAAAGAATCTCTTGCCACATCTGTTTTGTAAATAAGTGGATCAGAGTTCTGGATATTTAATCCTCCCTCTTGAACGGCAACAACCAGTTTCCCCACCTTTCTTTTGACAGCTTATCTGAAAGCGAAGATCTTCAAGAAAGCCAAGGCAAAGCAGCAGGTAAGGCAACACTAGGTCTTTATTTGACAATAACGCGGTACAGGAAGGGTGCCTAAAGTAGGTCATTAGAAATCCTTCATGAAACATTGCACCATTCATTTAATCATGATTCAGAGCAAACATTTGCTTAATCAGACAAACACTGACTCTTTAGAATTACATGTAGAAAGAGCAGAGGCCAAAGCCATGAGGCAAATCTGAGTAAACAAAGACAGTGCATTACATCAATGACTTGCTAACTACTTTTCTGTCCCATTTCTAACCGAGCTCACAATGTTTTCAAACTATTTCTTTCACATTCCATGTTCCTTTTTCTGCTGTTTTTGAGTTTTGGATCCTGCCTTACATTGTACCACTTTTAAACTGCAAATTGATAACCGCAGATACAATTAACTTCACGTCAGTGAAAAAGTGTTCAGTAATCCAAGTTGCTAGTCACGTTGTGTTTTTTCACAGTAACGTTGTCACTATATTCATATACTGAACTGTTTTATAGAGTTATTACTTCAAATCCAATGCATCACCCGAAGTGCTTAAACAGCCAGATGTAGTCACACTCAGCTTCTGTAATTCTGTCCGAAAATCAACTTATTCAGCTTCAGGGATCCCAGCTGTAAAGCTTCATGGTCTGGAATACATTTACAAGGCTCCACATGTCATCCAAGTGTGCAAGAAGTTTCAGGGCATGTGGTCTGGAATTTGGTTTTGTAGAACCAAAATAACTGTTTCAACTAGGCTAGATCTAATCTGGAGGTTGCAAGGGCCAATGCAGCATGGGATCTTGGTGGACTGATGGCTGGTGCTATTCCCGAAAATATATCAGTCATCTGCACACCTGGTAGAATGTGTTTCAATGGCCAGACTTACTTTTTATAATGCCCAACCCAGGAAGAATGGAAGAAATTTAATGATTATTTAGTTAAGTTTGTCAAGTTAAATTAACTGGAAATAGCTTGCAGATACTTATTGGGCTTAGGATTTTATTTATGTTAAGTGATGAAGTAATATGTTTAATTCTATAAGGTGAAGATTTAAGGATGTTAATGTTTAAGTTAAATGTCATAAAAATTGGGATTTGGAAAACGGTTAAAAGGACATGCAATGAAATTCAACTAAGGGGAAGCGAGGAAGTCACTTAACAAAGTTAATAACTGTAATTTTCAATAAGGCTATGATCTATGTTTGTTTTGTTTGTTTGTCTTGTGTGTTTGTTTGTTTTTTATAATATTGTGAAAACCAATAAAACTCTTTTTTGGGGGGAAATATAATGCCCAACCCTTTATATAATTGGCTGACCCTACCATTAGGCAGAGTGAAGCAGCCACCTTGAGCAACCTGCTTTTAGGTGCCATGAAAGGTCAGCACTTTGTTATTTCAATTAATATGATTGCATTTTCACTGCCGTAGAGGGGAAGAGGTGTCTGTGGGATTTTCTGCCTCTGGCACCAAAATAATTTAGCTAGCCATGGGTACTATTCACTTGACTTGGAGGATTGGACCTCTTTTGCTCTTGTGCTTCCGGAAGCAAAATACATTGGGCTGGCCCTATCCCAAAGAATTCTGGGAACTGTAGTTTGTTAAGAGTGCTAAGAATTGTTGCTGTGCGAGGGGGCAACTACAGTTCCCAGAATTCTTTGGGGGAAGCCATGTGCTTTCAATGTGCTTTGAATGTACTTTAAATGTATGGACCTTCCCAAAAATATTGGATGAAAATCTTCTTAGAATCATTGTATTGTATAGCTGGAAGTGATCCTGAGAATCATTCTAGACCAGTGATGGCCAAACTTGGCCCTCCAGCTGTTTTTGGACTGCAACTCTCATCATCCCTAGCTAACAGGACCAGTGGTCAGGGATGATGGGCATTGTAATCCCAAAACAGCTGGAGGGACGAGTTTGGCCATCACTGTCCCAGACCAACCCTCTGCAATGCAGGAATCTCAGCTACATCACACATGACAGATGGCCCTCCAATCTCTGCTTAAAAACCTCCAAGGAGGGAGAGTCCACAACCTCCAGAGGGAGACTGTTCCACTGTCAAACAGCTTTTACTGTCTTCCTGATGTTTAGCTGCAATCTCCTTTCTTGTAACTTGACTCCATTGGTTCGAATCCTACCCTCCAGTGTAGGAGAAAACAAGCTTGCTCCATCTTCCATGTGACGGCCCTTAAGATAGTTGAAGCTGGCCATCATATCTCCTCTCAGTTCCTTCTTTTCCAGGTTGAACATACCCAACTCCCTCAACAGTTCCTCATCAGGCTTGGTTGCCCTCCCCGCATATGTTCCCGCTTGTCAATATCCATCTTAAATTGTGGTGCCCAGAACTGGACACAATACTCCAGGTGGGGTCTGACCAATGCAGAACAGAGTGGTACTATTACTTCCATTGACTTGGAAGAAGAAGAAGAAGAGTTGATTTGATATCCCACTTTATCACTACCCAAAGGAGTCTCAAAGCAGCTAACATTCTCCTTTCCCTTCCTCCCCCACAAGAAACACTCTGTGAGGTGAGTGGGGCTGAGAGACTTCAAAGAAGTGTGACTGGCCCAAGGTCACCCAGCAGCTGCATGTGGAGGAGTGGAGACGCGTACCCAGTTCACCAGATTACGAGTCCACCGCTCTTAACCACTACACCACACTGGCTCTCTTGGACACTATACATTGGTTGATGCAGCCTAGAATAGCATTAGCTATTCTTCATATTACAATACTGTTGTTACCCATTTTATTTGTGGCAATACATACTACCAACACACAAATATATTTGCAGCAGAAAAAGACATTTCCCATGTCTCAGTTTTTTTGTTTCTATGAATGAATAACTTTTGTCATCCCTTTATCTCCTTTGCAAAAAAAAAAATACCTGGTCATGCAGTGAAGTTCAAATCTTGATTTTAAAAATCCTGCCTGTTGGATTTAAGGAAAAATTAAATATCAATGAATTCTGTTTCTTTGCAGCTCTTTCACCTCCCTCAGGAATGGCCCAAATGACCGTGCAAAATTACATGCGGTAGGCTCATGTATGGTGTTTATGTGCATGTTGTGAGCTATTCACTTCTACATTTCAAAATTCAGTGAAGGCAGTGCAATTAATTGTGTAGGGAAGCTTTCGACGTCTGAACTGTAGGGTGGCAGGAAGAATATTTGTTAGCTTAATGATGACATCTACATTTTCCCAGTATTAAGCTAAATGTGGTATGTATAATTAGCCAGAATTGTATGTGGGTGTAAATGTGAAATATTCACGCTAAAATATGGAGCAATCTTTCATGCTAACACAAGCAAGTAACAAGGAGGGGAAGAGGCTTATGCCCTCTGATGTGTAGATCTGTCCAACGGGATGTGAGTAAAAACAGGGTTAAGGCGCACAGTCAGATGTTCCTACATGTAAGCAACCCATTGTTCAACGGTCACATGAGGGAACAGTCAGACGAACCTGGCTGTACACATAGACAGCTGGCAGCCCTTTCTCTAATTGTAGTAGAAAAAAGACAGTCACGGAAACCGAAAACTACAGAAAACAAATGAAATACCGTGAAAATCCCTGAAACGAGAAGTAATCGGCTAGAAATATTATCTTATAGAATTAAACTAAATAACAAAAATCACAAAGTTTAAGGAAAAAATCCAAACAACTTAGAATTGAACAAAGCCTTAACGGGATGCTGGCTACAAACCTCGTTTCACTAAACCATTCAGTTTCCTCAGAAGGAAATAGAGAAATCATAAACCTTAAATGATTTTAAACAAACTCGAGAACAGGACTGAAACGCTCCCCTGAGTTTACAAAAAAAGTTTGAAAACCTCAATAGCGAGTTTAAGACACAGCCCTATCTAAAGCAAGCCAAGCAGTTGTGATAAGGAGTTGAGGACTCGGCTGTGAAAACTCTAGTATTGCCCTTACAAAAAGGTTTTAAAAAACCTACATAGTACAAATTCAAAAAACGGAATACTAAGATAAGCTGTTTTAGATTTTAAACAAACTCCGCTGCTTGCGGAGAGGTCCGCGAAGCCTGGACGCGCTGAGCTGAGCGCGCAGGCTTCAGCATGCAGGCAAGTCTCCGCAAGCAGCGGGAGCGCTCCCGCTGCTTGCGGAGAGGTCAGTGAAGCCTGGACGCGCTGAGCTCAGCGCACGCAGGCTTCAGCATGCAGGCAACTCTCCGCAAGCAGCGGGAGCGCTCCCGCGGCTTGTGGAGAGGTCCGCGAAGCCTGGACGTGCTAAGCTCAGCGCGCGCAGGCTTCAGCATGCAGGCAACTCTCCGCAAGCAGCGAGAGCCCAGCGCTGGGCTCCCGCTGCTTGCGGAGAGGTGCGCGAAGCCTGCATTTGCCCCCTAGGACGCACACACATTTCCCCTTCATTTTTGGAGGGGGAAAAGTGCGTCCTATAGGGCGAAAAATACGGTAATTCCTTTATCTCTTTTATGAATTACGTTTTATATATGTTTCCAGGTGATCTAGAAAAACGGACCTCTGGGATAGAGGGCATTTGAGGCGGGGGTTGAGGAGATTGCAGCTCACGCTTCCGTAATCCATTGCCGACAGCAAACTAGTTAACAAGTCGCAGCTAGAAATCTTGACAAAATAAAGATATGAGGGTGTTCCTTCTGGTATTGCTCATTGCATGTTACAGAGATAGAGCTTTATTAAAAGCAGTTATATCTTTCTAGAAAGTAGGTGGTTAGAGAACGTGTGCTCCCCAAAGACTTCCAAAGCTACGCCATCTGTCAAAAGCAAAGAAGCTCTGCCACCTTTATAATTAGCATTTACCGGTACCTAACACCTACATTCTAACACCTCCTGTAACATACTGTTCCTGAGAACAAATGTGTTTGCCACAGTATCATACATGCTCTTCTCCTGAAGAGCTCCGGCAAAGTAACATTTTGAACTAAAAGAAAGATGCAAATGTTTACTCCAGAAAGAAATTATAATGACATCCCAGAGGACCTTGAGTGTAAACAAATTTCATTGTTGCTTTCTCCCACTACTATAGATCCCTGCATCAGTTTTCAGAAATGCCGGTCCTTTCACGATGGAATAGTGCTGGCTCATCCCATTCTCTTCCCAGTGCCCCCAAAAGGTCAGCATCAACCAGATTTCAATGTTTGCGGCTTTCACGGTGCACGACACACGACTCAAATTCGGCTATGCGGGACGGGAAGTTTTTTCTGGTGCTTTGTTTTTCTGCGGAAAATTTTCTGTTTCACAAGTTCATTAGTAGCAACGAACGGCTGCCAATTGCAAATAAATATTGGGCATACTTGGCAGTTTTGAAGTGTTTGGCTTTGTTTACTCAATCCGAGTAAAATAAACATGCTAAATTACATCACTCTCAAGGGCAGCAGAAAATGTTCTGATGCAAACTGAAAAAAATTCTGATGCAAATTGCCCTGCTTTCCAACTCAGAATTTCCCAGAAAGCCCGCATTGGTGCTCAAAGAAAATGTTCGTTTGTTTGTTTGTTAATTTCATATAATTTACACGCCGCTTGATTGTAAAAACAAGACAAAAGGTAAAGGGAACCCTGACCATTAGGCCCAGTCATGGCCGACTCTGGGGTTGCAGCGCTCATCTTACTTTATTGGCCGAGGGAGCCAGCGTGCAGCTTCTGGGTCATGTGGTCAGCATGACTAAGCTGCTTCTGGCGAACCAGAGCAGCGCACGGAAACGCTGTTTACCTTCCTGCCGGAGTGGTACCTATTTCTCTACTTGCACTTTGACGTGCTTTTGAACTGCTAGGTTGGCAGGAGCAGGGACCGAGCAACGGGAGCTCACCCCGTCGCGGGGATTCGAACCACCGACCAACTGATCGGCAAGTCCTAGGCTCTGTGGTTTAACCCACAGCGCCACCCAGACCCACCCAAAAACGGAAAGTGGTTGGACCTAAATAGATATGCACGTTTGGTAGATGATGCAGAAGCCGTCCCCATGGCCCATTCCAGATGTGTGTGCATGTGTGCAATTCAATTGTTTCATCTTCCAGCATCAGTGTGCTCTGCCATGGTAACTGACAGCAGTCAAAGCTAGTGAGGATGTGTGGCTGAGCATTTTCCTTTTCAGTGGCTTCACAGCACATGCCAGATTCTCATGGCTCAGTTGCCCCCAAATTCCTCTGAGCTTCAGACCCTGGTTTAGTTATGATTCGCAATGTTCAGAATGTTCTCTGGTTCTCTCCAGGAACAAATTTTTGAAACTTGTAATGCTCACCTTAAATAGGTAAAAAAAAAGGTAATGGTAAAGGACCCCTGGACGGTTAAGTCCAGTCAAAGCTGACTCTGGTGTTGCGGCGCTCATCTTGCTTTCAGGCCGAGGGAGCCGGCGTTTGTCCACAGACAGCTTTCCGGGTCATGTGGCCAGCATGACTAAACTGCTTCTGGTGCAACAGAACACCGTGAAGGAAACCAGAGCGCACGGAAATGCCACTTACCTTCCCGCCGGAGCGGTACCTATTTATCTACTTGCACTGGTGTGCTTTCAAACTGCTAGGTTGGCAGGAGCTGGGACAGAGCAACCGGAGCTCACCCCCTTGCAGGGATTCGAACCGCTGACCTTCTGATCCGCAAGCCCAAGAGGCTCATGGTTTAGACCACCCGCATCCCTCAACTTAAATACAAGGGGAGCGGACCACCATAGACCCGAAAGTTCTCCTGGATGCATTCCAATTTGAGCTAGAGAAAAATTAAAGCCCTCTTTCCCTGCCACCCATCTCCAAACCCTACCCTCGTCCGAGCCACTTTCCTTTCCTCCTGCCTCAGCAGAATGGAGAAAGGGGTATTTTTCTCTCCTCCACTACTGTTGGCACTTAGCACCCTGCTGAGGCTACATGCAAGATGCCAGAAAGTGTCATTTCCCCAAGTATTACAGCTGCACTGAAACTATATATCCCAGCAGTCCTGGTGCCTGCTCACAGCTATAGTAGTATGCCCAGTGCCAGAGAAGGGCATGACAGTGACAGAGACCTCCCTCCCTTTCTCCGTTCTACTGCTGTTGTTGCAGTAGATTGAGGTCCAGTGCCAAGGGCCTTCCAGCAGTTCCTTCTCTGCGAGAAGTGAGGTCACAGGGAACCAGGCAGAGGGCCTTCTTGGTAGTGGTGCCTGCCCTGTGGAATGCCCTCCCAGCAGATGTCAAGGCAATAAACAACTATTTTACTTTTAAAAGACAACTGAAGGCGGCCATGTTTAGGGACGTTTTTAATGTCCGACGCTGTATTGTTTTTAATATTCGGTTGGAAGCCGCCCTGAGTGGCTTTGGTAACCCAGCCAGATGGGTGGGGTATAAATAATAAATTATTATTATTATTATTATTATTATTAGCCAGTAAGCAAGTCGGGAGAAGGGATGGGATTAGGCAGGAGGGAGGCAAGTAGATGGGCGAGAGGAAAGGATCTGAACTCTCACCAGGCAACGTTGAGAGAGATATCCCAGTCACATAACCAGGGATGCAACAGGGCCTGATGTGGTTTGACCAATTCCAACTGAAGATGAGGTTGAGTTGATCAGCAATCCAGAAAATTGGATTGAGTTGCATGAAAGAGAAGGAGCCAAAAGGCCCTTTGGATGCGTTCCCTCTTAATAGGAGAAGTCTCTCCCACTCTGAAATCATTTGGGATCTTCTCTCTGTTCACTTCCATTAGGGTGTATTGTGTTGAGATTTCCTTTTAAAAAATAAAAATAAAAATTTTTATTAACAGGCCAATCACATCACATTATCCAAATCACATTAGTTCCAAATTATACAGCCGAATTTTAAATTTTGTTGGGGGTACCCATACATCAAGTTCCGGACGAGTCCAAACATCACTTATATTGCTGCATTAATTAAACAGTTCTATCCAGTTCAATCCAGATAGTCCTTTATTACTTCCTTCTTCATCTTCTTGTTGTTATCGTATATTCCTTTCTTTGCGATCTCTGATGATTTTCACAAGCAGATTGGAAACAGACATGCTCTGTGTGGGTTTTGTACTCTCCAAAGATCGTATCGCTCAGGGACAGCCGCTGTTCCTCGCTTCCATAAAAAAAAATTAACCTTCGATCTGTCCTTTACTTTTCTCAGACTTGCCCAGTATATCAGGAGGCTCTGTCAGGTCAAAATTACATTCCAGCAATCCTTCTCATTCCAGTGGTCCTGTTTCTCCTCCCCCTGTCCTTCTTTCTCCGGCAAGCCTGTCTTGGCGCGATGCCATTTTTTGACTCCGTCATAGAATTTCCCTCCGTTCTCATTGTTTACCAATCCTTTCTTTAGCTATATTCCATCCCACACAGTTCTTAACTTCCTGCTTGTGATTAGTAAAACGCAACAATCTTGTTTCTTTCTGGCGTGAAGGGTTATTAATATCACATAGTACAAAGAAAAAAGGTTTTTTCCTCCACCCCCCCCTTCATTCCAAACATACAGTCTCATAATGGTGATTCATCAGAAGATCTACTTATCCGTCCATCACTCCTGGTCACAGAGATCCATTAATCAGCAGTCTTATCTCTCAAGCGTTACTTGATGTATGTGCTTCAGCTTCATTCCAATCGTATGTTTCCAATTATAATTCCGAGCTGAAGCTAACCAGCACGCGCTGATTGGAATCGGCGTCAGGAAGAGCTGACCGCATCGAGGGCTCGTGCCAAGTGACCGGCACCCCCAGACCTCGGATCTGGGGGTGCATTGTGGACACCGCTGGCAAGGCAGGGGCCCCCCCATCTCCTTGGGGGGGTAGGAAGACTGCATACTTCCCATAGCAGCCTCTTAATTACCTCGTATGGGTCAGAGAGATGTTATTGTTGGCCATCTTCCAATGCGCCACCTGGTGGCCCCCCTGTGTTGAGATTTCCATCCCACCTTAAGGAACAGATGTGTATCACATGTCTGTTTACATTCCAGCACAGTATGGTAGGAACTTCTGTTGTGTATAGCTTTTGCTCTGCCCATTCTCTCTGAGATGACATGAGAGAGAGACATGTTTCTTTGTCCTGATTTATGATTAATAAATCTGTAGTTGTAGTATGCTTCCACAAGCCTCACGCCTATTCTGTGTGCGCAGTTCTCTCGCTGATAGAGTGCCCTGGCTTTGAAGCCTGGGTCGCTGATTTACGTCAGAGCATGGGCCGATGGAAGGAGACGGCACAGCTGGGGTTTGCCAGCTGGCCTCCCGGCCCTCTGCATGTTGGCCCATGTGTTAGTTTTCTCTGTGTGGTTAGAAGCCGAATTCTGTGGAGGGTTTGGCTCATGCACTGGCCATGAGGCAAAGTCTTCCTGGAGTTGTAGTTCCAGTGTCTTTGAGTGACCAGTATTAAACCGAAGGAGCTGCGCACTGACCATTGTCTACATTACACCCATTGATTGACTGTGTTTCTAGTTTGATTAATTTCAGGGATGAAAACTTAATACATAATGAAACTCCAAAACATTCCTAGGAATCTTCATGACATGAAAGAGAGTTGTACTTAAGTGAGCGTTGGATGGGTGACAAGCAAAATTATTACCTGAAACTCTTGACATGAGTAATGATTATTGAAATGGACATGTGCATTGTTACCTGGCTTGAGTCATTGGGATGAGGTGAGCTATAAGCCCAAATAAATAAATAAATAAATAAATAAATGTAAACAAATTACTTTTGTAAAGCGTAGTTTATTTATCTGGGAACAAATTTAAAGTTTACAATGTCAATTTAGAATTGTTGGGTGGTAGCTTCTCATAGGCCATTTTGTACTTGTCTAGCTCAGAGATAATGGGACACGGGAGGTGCTGTGGTCTAAACCACAGAGCCTAGGGCTTGCCAATCAGAAGGTTGGCGGTTCGAATCCCTGCAACTGGGTGAGCTCCCGTTGTTCAGTCCCAGCTCCTGCCAACCTAGCAGTTCGAAAGCACATCAAAGTGCAAGTAGATAAATAGGTACCGCTCCGGCGGGAAGGTAAATGGCATTTCCGTGTGCTGCTCTGGTTCGCCAGAAGCGGCTTAGTCATCCTGGCCACATGACCTGGAAAAACTGTCTGCAGACAAACGCCGGCTCCCTCGGCCTGTAGAGCGAGATGAGCGTGCAACCCCAGAGTCATCTGTGACTGGACCTAATGGTCAGGGGTACCTTTACCTTTACCTAGTTCAGACATAGCCAATGTCATTACATCCAGATTTTGTTGGGCTCCAACTCCCATCAGGCCAAACCAGCATGGCCAGTGGTCAGAGATGATGGTTGATGTAGTACAGCAACATCTGAAGAGTACCACATTGATCACTGCTCATCTAGCTCCACAATACAGACATGAGATAGGAAGAAGGAAGAATGATATCCAGTTAAATCGTGCTCAGAGTAGGTCCATTGAAATCAGCAGAGTTATGTACATTGATTTCACTGAGTATGATTCATTCTGGATATATTTTAGCTTAGTGAAATGAAATAACATGTCAAGCCAGCAGCATAATTTATGTGGTTGTTTTCTCTATAGTGTCACTGAATGGTTAGATTTCTCGGAAAAAGATCCAGTTGAGATTCTGCTGGATTTGGGGTTTGGTACAGATGAGCCTGACATCTGCACTAAAATCCCTTCCCGGTTCATCAGTTGTGCTTCCATAGCTAAAGGAATCAACATCCGGGTTTTCATTGAAGCTCAAAGAAAACGAATGGATATAGAAAGCCCCAATTTATGTGGTAAGTAAATGAAAATAGATTTTTTTGTGTTGTGGGAGTGAGGAAATGTTTTGGAGAGATGAGCTCATTCTCATAAGCAGAAGGTTTTGCTGAGGGGGGGGAGATCAGGAGAATAAATCTTATTACAACCATCAAACACTTTGAGAGGTTAGTCCAGTGGACTGTTCATTGAAATCAACTGAGGTATCTGTACTTAATAAATATGGTAAGGTATTTTTGGACAGCAGCCAGCTTTGAGTGTCTGAAAGGGTTTTCATTATGGCTGCCTCTGATTCAGAATTGCTTTCTATGTAAGCCCATTCAATCAAATTATAGCAGAAAATAATACTCTGCTTCGATAATGAAAGGAGAATCTGACCCACTATATCTATACTGTATAGTATACTGAATTTGTAGTAGTTCCTGTGAGGTTTCGAACACTCATTGGCTGAGCTAGGATGGTGTCAAAAAATGTTCAATCAGAGAAAGAAGTTGTTAGAATGTTCGAAATCTAGTTTCTGTAAGAGAAGAAGTTGTCAGTATGGCTTGCGCTAATATGAAGTTCAGTTTGTCGGGCTATTTAGCTTAGGGCCAAGTTGAAATGTAAGAATGCAATCTAATGTTGGAATTAAGAAGAATAGAAGATGGAGAATTCACTGCTTATCCTCCTTAAGAGGTCAATTACAATAGATTAACAAACACAACAGGTCAACAAATGTTACTTTAGCCATGTGGAAAATTTGCTTTTCTTTTACTAGCAAAATTGTATAGTAGCTGCTGTTTAAATGGCACAACCACTCAGACAAGGACTGATCGTGTGGACCTTGACCAAAAGCTGAAGTGGTTGGGCCATTTACATGTTATCCCTTTCTACATAGGAGCAGCTCTCAGAAGACCAACTCTTTGGTAGCTTCTAAAAAGGCTCTTTAATATGAGGTGCTTTGTTAGCTTTTAGTTTGTAGAATGTGTGTGGTAGGTAGGGATGGGGAGAAATTTGATTCAGTTCACATTTAAAGGCAGATCTATCAAATTCATACTTTTGGAAATAAATGAGAACCAAAGCACAGCCATTCTTCAAAATTCACACTTGCTCAAATTTTGAGATACAGTTCCCCAACCAAGCAACGTTTACCAAAAAATAAATAAATCATCTGTTGGGGAAAGGCATGCATTAAAATTAATAATAAAAAATGCATTATATCGGGGGAAGTTGATTGAAAAGTGTATACAGTAGTCAAAGCTGCATACAAACGTGCTTCTTCAGAGAAATGTTCATTAAAATGTTGATGAATTTTCATGAGGATTATGTGTGCGTGCAAAACCCCCACAAATTGCTGCAGAAATGTGGACGACTGAATTTAATATGGGGGGAAAATGAGAAACCGAAAGAACTGAAATCATCAGATCCTTCCATCTTTGGGGCAGGTAAAAAAATCCTCCCTAGGTGATAATAATATGACTTTGCCCATTTCTGATTATCAAAGAGCCCCTTTTCTTTTATTCTAAATACCCTAAAATTGACACACAGGTTTAATATAAATGTGATAAGTGTTAAAGAAAACCTGAAGTGTGTGCTTCAGGGTTTTATTGCTGAGTGAAGGATGGTTAATGAAAAGTCCAAGTCTCTGATTCACCTCTGCAAATACCCAGATTAGACTCAATTAATAGTTCCCTCCAAGATATCTTTATCATGGCAAAGGTTCTCTCCTGAGGCCATTTCCCTCGTTGCAATCCATAAATGGTTGGACCATGGGAGTCCTTTTAACAACAGCATGTTCCCCTCTGTCAGGGTTGCTGATGCATGTGTTCTAAGGTTACACATGATTAGGAATGAATGAATCTGCCAATTCTGGTTTCTTACAGTTTCTTACAGTTCTTCATTTTTCCATTTTTAAGTTTAGTTCACTCTATTTCTACATCAGTCTACATTTTTAAGAAGTTGCCACACAAAAATCATATGCATTTTATTCACAGTTTTCCTAATACGTGCAATTTCATAAGCCATTTATCCCAATCGAATGTATTCATTAATATATAACACATCATCATTAATTTATTTATTTCATATGCATTTGGGGACTCATTTTCCCCAAACACACATAGTTTTTGTACACATTTTTGGGGTTGAGAACTGCACCACAAAATTCAAAGACGGGCAAATTTCAAAGGAATTTCAGTTCTGATTCATAAAATAGAGCTGCCAAACGTTTATCCTACATATAATAGACATATAACTATGTACAACATGTGTGACGGCCACAAAGCTCTGTGGAAGCAACCACATTGCAGTGTTAACAATACGATCTGAGTTTAGAGATTTAGCGTTGTCTGTCTTCAACTTGTTGTATGAAGCCTGGAAGCTTTCTAGGTTTGGTCTGCAACTAAACAAACAAATGCATAAGTTTTGTTTTCATCTGTCTCAAACATCAGGACGTTTTCGGCAATTGGAAGTCCTGGATCATGTGACTAGTGCCTTTTCTTCTTTGCTGAATGACATCAACACCCTGCATCATAAGTCGGAAGAGAGAACCGGAGAGGAGAATTGTGCAGTGGGCTCTCCGAAGCGGAATCTTGTGGTCACACAGGCAAAGAGGAGGAGAATAGGTCAGCTCCTGAGAAAAGTGTCCAGGCAGACAACAATGCATAGCCCTCAAGTGTACCGAAATGCTGGCACATGCCAGGCCAAAGAAGACAATTCTTCTGTTGATGTGGACCTGCACATGGCAATGCGGACTGGCTTGTCTGAAAACCCTGCCTTGGTCCCTCTGAAAGAAGAACCGTTTCCAAGTGAGAAGGAGGCAAAGACTCCACAATCCATAGCAAGTAAACCTTGGGTGTTGCCTCACCTTCCAGTGAAACTGCCTCATTTTCCTTCCACCTCTGAGATGCTCATTAAAGACAGACCACGCAAAGAACCCAATATCCTTTTGACCCATACGCTCAGGAGAGTGTCTAGCTTCAACTGCAAGCCTTCAGATTCCTTTGAAATGGAGGAGGTAAGACAGATTGCTGTGTGTTGTGCATAGATAGGTGATGGAGGCACAGAGGAAAGTTGGTTTTAGTCTACATCTTATTTTAAAATAGTTCTACGCCACTTTCCAGTCAATGCTTGTCCAAAGTGGCTTATAGCAGTAAAAAAAACAAAGTAAACCATAGATCATTGTTAAAAATATATGGGTTAAACCACAGAGCCTAGGACTTGCCAATCAGAAGGTAGGCGGTTCGAATCCCTGCAACGAGGCGAGCTCCCATTGCTCGGTTCCTGCTCCTGCCAACCTAGCAGTTTGAAAGCACGTCAAAGTGCAAGTAGATAAATAGGTACCACTCCAGCAGGAAGGTAAATGGCATTTCCGTGCGCTGCTCTGGTTTGCCAGAAGCGGCTTAGTCATGCTGGCCACATGACCTGGAAGCTGTACGCTGGCTCCCTCGGCCAGTAAAGCGAGATGAGCGCTGCAACCCCAGAGTCGGCCATGACTGGACCTAATGTTCCGGGGTCCCTTTACCTTTACATAAAAGAATAAAACTCATCCAATGAATTAGAAATCCATAGGCCATGAAACATAACTCTAGACCCAGCCCATCCAGTGTCAATTTCATTTTACCAGTCTTCAGTTCATCACATTTCTGTATCAATTTGTGATTTTGTCAGGAAGTCCTGAAACAACCCTCCTTTTTGTAAGTAATTTCTCCTTATATGATGAATGCTTATGCTGTTTTCACCAATATATGCACACTTAGGCACATTCCTCACCCCTCCAATATACCAATTTTTGTACACAATTTTGTTTGTTTGTTGAAGTGTGTACATTTCAAATAATAGGTAAGTTTTGGTTCATCACATTGTTTGGAGAAGGGCAAGTCAGGAAGAAAGAAAACCATATTTCTCCATTCTGTAGTGGAGAGTGGTGACTGGAAGATTGGAAGTTGGTTACAAGTCTTGCCAGCTTGTTCACCAAGCAGAAGTTTAGAAATAGCATGCCATTTGGGGATTGATGTGATACTAGCAACATCCTTGTTTTTAGATGCTAGCCTGTGAGCATTATAGTATGACATGATCACTGAACGATTATTTCCTATCATTAGCTATGCATGCTAATTTTGGGTCGTTATGGGTTCGGGTGTTTATGAGAGATGTGTTTATGATATAAAGTGTGAAGAGGGCAATATTTTCAAGCAGTTTGAGAAGAAGACATCTTCCCCAAAAAACCCCTCAATATACCATCCCAATACTTTCACTTTATTGTGCTCAGTTCTAAAGGCCCTTTGCAGAAATATTTAAGATTCTTCATCAGAAGATTGGCGGTTCGAATCCCCGCGGCGGGGTGAGCTCCCATTGCTCGGTCCCTGCTCCTGCCAACCTAGCAGTTCGAAAGCACATCAAAGTGCAAGTAGATAAATAGATACCGCTCTGGCGGGAGGGTAAATGGCATTTCCGTGCGCTGCTCTGGTTCGCCAGAAGCGGCTTAGTCATGCTGGCCACATGACCCGGAAGCTGTACACTGGCTCCCTTGGCCAATAAAGTGAGATGAGCTCCGCAACCCCAGAGTCATCCGCAACTGGACCTAATGGTCAGGGGTCCCTTAACCTTTACCTTGAGACTGAACCAAGAAAAGTGCTGCCAGTTGTTATACAAGCCCTTGGTTCTCTGGGGCCATGCTGATTTCCTCCTCCTCTCTGTAACCAGCTCCTGCAGAGCTGCAAGATATGGAATACAAGTGTCCATAAAGACTTGGATGCAGCAGACTGAGAAAGGACCTCTCTGCATCAAACTAAGTCGTCTGCCTCCCTGTCACTTGCTTGTGGGACATGAAGGTGACAGAGATGACCAGGGCATAATTTGATACGGAGATGTTTCATCAGAAAATAAGAGGGGCCACTCAACTGTAGCAATTGCCTTCTCTGCAGTACATTGTTCATAGTCTCCACTCTGGGTAATGTCCTGGGGCAGAATGAAAGCCATAAACACCTGACCATTGATATACACAATATGAACCATGATTATTTTTTCTCAGCCCTCATTGGGCTGTTTTGGGGAAGGAGGGGGTTGCCCTTAGGGATTTTTTAATGCACTTGTGCTCATCCCTCCTTCTTGTTTCTCAGTGTTTTGCATTCTGGCAGCACTTACCCATGGAGGCCAATCCATTTGGGTGAATAAGGCCCTGCCCCATCCACCTCAGCCAGTCACCACCTGTGAAATATACTCGGAGTTGAGTGTGGATTTCATGCTCTTTATTCAACTCATAGTAGTGAGGAATGGAAGTTCCCCCAAAATGTCTGCTTTATATACAGTATTTACACAATGGGCCCCACGTGATTGGCTAATTCTGGGATTCCCCTGTAGGCCAATCAGGTTGCGGATTCACTTCCACCTGGAGTTGGATTGGGTGGCTCCTGCAGACCAATCAGAGTACTGCATTCTGAATCCTATTGTTCTAGGACCAATCAGACTGCTGCATTCCGAATCCTATTGTTCTAGGACCAATCAGACTGCTGCATTTTGGATCCTATTCAACTCAGTACATAACAACCTGCATTCTTACTTACAACTAGTCCAGAGAGTGGCCCTGGCTGTCAGTTTCCTCCTCCTTAGTCCCAGAGTTATAAATGTAGAACTCAACAGAGAAGAGGACGGGGACAAATCTAGAATTAGTTGGCTCCACATATCCTTGGCTCTGGCATCCAACTACCACAGGTCTCCCACCTTGCCCATCTCAGTGGGCACCAGCCTACCATAGGCACTCGACACTTGATTTTTCTATTTGAGAGAGATTTCCACTAGGCAAAAATGTGCTTTGACCTGGCAATAGTATCACGTGGAACAGATCCGTGTTATAAACTCTAACTTACAGCCCCAAACCCAAGTTTTATTTTCAAAGACACATCAACAACAGAAGAACATTCAGAGTTGCTTTGTTCAGTGTTGTTTTAGTCTGAAATCCTAATGTCAAAGTGAAGAAATATACTTTTAATAGTAAACAAAAACGAGCTGCTTTAAGGAGTGTTTTCCCCCTCTCCTGTCGCAGATCCAGAGCTTTGAGGATGAATCTTCCTGGGGAAATCCTCTTGAAAGCACTTCAGGTGGGTATTAGCAACTGTAATTGCTCTATAACATTTTGCAAATTTGCCGTATGCCTTGGAAATGGAAATGCCAGAGATATGGAGTGAGTTGGTTGGACTGGTCAACCAAAAACATTCCCTCACAACCTGATGTCTTTATTCAACATATAAACCCTCCCTGTTTTGAAAGAGAGTTTTATATGGATGGGTGGATGGGATTCTTGTAAGAGACAAGTTGTAAATGGGTAGGAGAGTGGGATGGAAGTAAACAAAAGAGATTGCAGGAAGTATCTTCTTTTCAGTAGGCTTTGATTGTTGGCATTCCTAAGATGCGTTTTCTGAGTAATTCTTATTTGCTAGAAGGTAGGCAGTAGAGCCTGAGATTTCATGGTTGAGTTACACCAGAGATATGTGGCTTGCTGTTTGCACCATGAGCCAGTCCGCTCTGCTACTAGCTCTGCATTGTTTTTTGTTCTATATAAGCAATGTCATCATCATATTGGTCAACCATTTAGATCTGCTCTTAGTTGTGTGCTCTGCAAGGTTTCAACTGCATCCAAAGTCTCACGAAAATCTATGTGTGAATTGTGGTGGAACTGGGACCTACATTAGGTACCTTGTGGAGGTGTCAAATGCAAAAGCCTAGACCAGCCTTCAGTTGGCATCATAAAATACCACCAGGTAATAATGTATGGAGTGGGACATGGGTGGTGCTGTGGTCTAAACCACAGAGCCCAAGGCTTGCCGATCAGAAGGTCGGCAGTTCAAATCCCCGTGACGGGTGAGCTCCTGTTGCTTGGTCCCTGCTCCTGCCTACCTAGCAGTTCGAAAGCACGTCAAAATGCAAGTAGATAAATAGGCGGGAAGGTAAACGGCGTTTCTGTGTGCTGCTCTGGTTCGCCAGAAGCGGCTTAGTCATGCTGGCCACATGACCCAAAAGCTGTATGCTGGCTCCCTCGGCCAGTAAAGCAAGATAAGCGCCACAACCCCAGAGTCGTCCGCAACTGAACCTGTCAGGGGTCCCTTTACCTTTACGTAAAAACTTATTCAGATGTGGCTTTGCAGTATCTTTTTTTTTTTTTTTTTTGTACGAACCAGTATTTATTGCTGTTTTACACTACATAATTATTATTATTTTAAGGCTTCAGAATTTTTTTATTACTGATGTTTTTATTTATCTGATTGCAATGTATACCTTCTTGCTATATTTTAACGAAAATGCCATATATATTTATGTCAATAAATATAAATAATAAACTATGAATGAGATGACAAGGTATACCCAGTGCTTTTTTTCTGGGGGGCATGCATATCCCTTAACATTTTATGAATCTTAGTTTGACCTCATTGAGGGGCAGTTTTTCAATATGAGTAGGAAAATGAGAGTACCCCTAAACATATTTTTTTTTAGAAAAAAAAGTACTTGGGCATACCTATAAGGAAAACATAGCCTTGAAATGTAATTCATACTCTATTCTGTTCCTTACCTTTTTAAAAAAATGTATCTGAAGAAGTGTGCATGCACACAAATGCTCATATCAATAACAAACTTAGGTAAAGGGACCCCTGACCATTAGGTCCAGTCGTGACTGACTCTGGGGTTGCGGCGCTCATCTCACTTTAAAGGCCAAGAGAGCCAGCGTTTGTCTGCTTCCACAGTTTTTCTGAGTCATGTGGCCAGCATGACTAAGCCGCTTCTGGCAAACCAGAGCAGCACATGGAGACGCCATTTACCTTCCCGTCGGAGCGGTACCTATTTATCTACTTGCACCTTGATGTGCTTTCGAACTGCCAGGTTGGCAGGAGCAGGGACCGAGCAACGGGAGCTCACCCCGTCGCTGGGATTTGAACCGCCGACCTTCTGATCGGCAAGCCCTAGGCTCTGTGGTTTAACCCACAGCTCCACCCACATCCCACAATAACAAACTCTAAGGTGCTACTGGAAGGAATTTTTAAATTTTGTTTCCATCATTTTAAAAAAAGTCTCATTTCAAAACAGAGCTTTAAAATGAGATTTTTTTTTGTCCCGAGACTTCAGGTATGGGATGAGTTAATTATTCCAAACAGTCAAGTATCCCCCCACCCCCTTCTCTAATTCATGTACTTTAAATCTGACCATATTTATAAGAGTTGGTTAGGGGCACAGACTATGCTTAATGGTAGATCTAACTGAGCATGAAAGAGGAAGATACAGTGGTACCTCAGGTTAAGTACTTAATTCGTTCTGGAGGTCCATTCTTAACCTGAAACTGTTCTTAACCTGAAGCACCACTTTGGCTAATGGGGCCTCCTGCTGCCGCTGCGCCGCCGGAGCATGATTTCTCTTCTCATCCTGAAGCAAAGTTCTTAACCCGAGGTAATATTTCTGGGTTAGCGGAGTCTGTAACCTGAAGCGTATGTAACCCGAGGTACCACTGTACAGACTGAGTATTTTGTTTACGTAGACATGATGAAAATACTTTCCAATGTGCCTGGGTTCCTTAGCTGTAGGACCAGGCCTCTGTCCTCATCCAATTGTTCAAAATTTTGCACAACACACCCACCCACCCACCCCCTCATGCTGTGAAATATCATTTCTTGGCTGCTGTGAGCTGTTTCTCTTAGCTGTTCCCTTTGCCAGGAATCTTGATGCTCCTTTCGTCTTTCCTTCCCCTTGAGCCGATTGCAGAGACTGAATTCTAAAAGACACTCAAACCTCAAGCATCTCTAGATAACTTCCAAGGAATACCGGAGTGTTTTCGAGCAATTTGTGTGTGTGTGTGTGTGTGTGTGTGTGTGTGTGTGTGTTCTACACAAAATATTACAATTTTTATTAGGCAATTTTATCATTGTTATAAATAAGTAATTGTACTGGGGAGAAGGGATAATCCTTATTTAATTAAATTCATCTATACTCCCAGGTTGGCAGCAACCAGACATATGTGAGACTAATACCCACAGCCTGCCTTGTATGCCTGTGCAATTAAAAATTCACTCTACAGTAGCACTGGCAGTTTAGTGTTGCTTTTGGCATTTACAAATTCTTTTATTTTGTGACTTTTTTCCCACCATACACATATGCTGGAGCAGATGTTGCTTATTTGTTGTTTATTCAAATCTGTAAGCTCTGGCAGCAAACGCCATTGTTCTGTAATGAAGCTTTGCTCACTGTCCTGTATTAGGAAGGGCCCAGCAAATGTCTGACGGGCACTTAGCTCCCAGCAGGAGGATGTACGCATTTTACCAGCAATCTATACATCCATTTGAGGATCCTGGCTGCAGGGCAGTGCAAAGGAATGGAAAGGCACAAAGCATAGGGAAGATCAGGGCAGCCTGGTCATAGTAGGGGCCTTGTCTTTTCTTTTCACCCGAACTTACCTGGTGTGCAGATGCGCGGTTCAGCACCTGGGAACAGAGTTGTTCTTGCACACCAGTGCTTTCCTCTTTTCAGCTGGCTTTTGGGGACGACGTGAAGGTGACTAAGATAGCATGTGGCTGGAAATTCAGCAGCAGCAACCCTTAATTGTAACAGGTATGGCATTTGTGCGTGTTGGTGTCCGTCAACACCAATGCCAGTGTGGTGTAGTGGTTAAGAGCAGTAGACTCGTAATCTGGGGAACCGGGTTTGCGTCTCCGCTCCTCCACATGCAGCTGCTGGGTGACCTTGGGCCAGTCACACTTCTTTGAAGTCTCTCAGCCCCACTCACCTCACAGAGTGTTTGTTGTGGGGGAGGAAGGGAAAGGAGAATGTTAGCCGCCTTGAGACTCCTTCGGGTAGTGATAAAGCGGGATATCAAATCCAAACTCTTCTTCTTTGGGCTTGTCCCCCTGCCTCTTCCCCCCTCCACCCCAGGCAGCTTTTTCCAAGGGGGCCCTGACCAAAGAAGGAACGGCTGATCCCCAAACCGGCTCTGCTAATGCAAGAGCATCCGTTGGCTGAAAAGCCCCCTTTGCAGCCCAAGAGGCAATCAATCAGAGAAAGTAACCACCTCCATCTGGCACACGGTAGCCTGGATACTCACTTCCGCAGCCTTTTGCGATTCATCTTGTCCCAACAAGTGGTGCCAGGGACCAAACCGCACTCGAGTCTTTCCAGCAGCTGGGTACGTTTACCTCCCCAGCCTGCTGAGCTGACATATTAGCTCCCCTGACTTATTGAGTGGCAATGCTTTTAATTATCACACCTTCCCTTCCTCCTCCTCCTCCTCCTTGCGATCTCTTTCACGTACAGTTTGGCACCATGGGAATATCTGCAGAAGGCAATCGGCATTTTTCTTAATTGACTGTGTTCCAATAGTGTGAATCCTGTTTATTATCCTCCCGTAAAGTACATATGGGAACGATTGCTTGATGGCGAGAAAGTGTGCCACAATCATTTCCCTGTTTCTGATGGCGGCGGGCAAGTTGTGTTGGTTTTCACAGATGGTAGTTGCTTGCCAAAAGCTAAAGATGGGCAAAAGGTATTATGTGTGCACTTGTTATTTAAAATCTCTCTCCCCCTCCCCCCAGTCACATTTCTTCAAATCACGTCTCTTAAATTTCCTATGAAGTCCTATGGTTCGCAAAGTTTATCTGAAAATATCTGCATGTTGATGAATAATGGGCAGGAATAAATAGAATGATGTTTAATGCATGGTTCTTACCATTTGATAGGATTGGCTATTGGTTTTTCTTTTTAAAAATCTGGTATAAGAGAGAGCACCACAACATTTCATAGTTCCCTGTCTTTCTTTCTTTCCCAGTTGTTACGTCTTGTCCACTTACACCCTTGCCTAATATTTTCGAGCTGTAACATAACCTCATAGAATTATGGGATATAACTGCATTGGCAGATGCAATTGCAATAGGCTGGCGCTAAACATCTGAGAGGCTGAGTATCCCAGGTCCCCATCAAACATCTGGAAATAGCAGAGGAATGCCAATTTCCAGTGATTTCCTCATAAGCCTGCCTCCCACCTAGAGCCGGGGTACAAGATGTTTATTGCCACATCTCTGGGAAGGCTGCAGCTTCTCCTCAAGAAATTGGCCCAGGTCCTTTCCACCAAGAACCTCAAGATGGTGGTCATGGTTCTCCTCCCCATTTTGTTCTAGCAAGAACCCAGGTCAGGCTAACTGGTTCAAGATCACCTAAAGCAGCCTTTCTCAACCTGTGGTTCCCCAGATGTTGTTGAACTACAACTCCCTTCACCCCTAGCTACCAAGGCCAGAGCTCAGGGATGATGGGAGTTGTAGTCCAACAACATCTGGGGACCCACAGGCTGAGAACTGCTGACCTAGAGAGTTTCATGATTGAGTGGGGATTGGAACCCTGGTCTCCTAGGTCCTAGTCTGTCACTGTGACCACTTCGCTGATCCCCAGTGAGAGGGTCACAACATAGTTCTCCCTGTGGTTTTTATGGCATGCTCTCATCACCTGTAGAGGCAGCAAGGTAGCAACGTCAAACATCGATGTAAGGCAGAACCCAATGACTTTTTACTCAGGGTAGACCCATTGAGATTAATGAACACGCTAGCTCTAGGACTACTTTGAGTAAAACATCACTGAACACTATCCACAACTTCCCCATCTATGGCTGTCCAATGCCAGAGTCACCCAGACCATTGGATGAGGAGGGATAGTGAATGACTGCAGCCAGAGCAAGTCTTACAAACTTATCAAAGGTTCTCTCCCAGTCCTACCTGCAGGTGCCAGGGAGGGATTCATAGAATCATAGAATCTTAGAACTGGGAGGGACCCAAGGGTTGTCTAGTCCAACCCCCTGCCATGCAGGAATCTCAGCTAAAGCATCCAGGACAGATGGCCATCCAACATCTGCTGAAAAACCGACAAGGAAGGAGAGTCCACCACCTCTAGTGGGAGTCTGTTCCACTGTCAAACAGCTCTTACTGTCAGAAAATTTTTCCGAATGGTTAATTGGAATCTCCTTTCTTGTAACTTGGAGCCATTGCCTCGAGTCCTACCCTCCAGAGCAGGAGAAAACAAACATGCTCCCTCTTTCATGTGACAGCCCTTAAGATATTTGAAGATGGCTATCATGTCTCCTCTCAGTTCCCTCTTTTCCAGGCTAAACATACCCAGCTCCTTTATGCACTCCTCATAAGGCTTAGTTTCCAGACCCTTCATCATTTTGGTTGCCCTCCACTGCACACACTCCAGCTTGTCAGCATCCTTCTTAAATTGTGGTGCCCAGAATTGGACGCAGTGTGGTCTGACCAAAGCAGAATAGAGTGGTACTACAGTGGACGCTTGGGTTGCGAACGTGATCTGTGCAGGAGGTACGTTCGCAACCCGCAGCATTCGCAACCTGCAGTGCTGCGTCTGCGCGGGTTGCGATTCGGCACTTCAGCGCATGCGCAAAGTGCGATTTAGCGCTTCTGTGCCTTAGCGACCGCCGAAACCCGGAAGTAACCTGTTCCAGTACTTCTGGGTTTCAGCATGTCCGTAACCCGAGAAAACGCAACCTGAAGCGTCTGTAACCCGAGGTATGACTGTATTTCTTCCCTTGGTCTGGACACCTTACTTCTGTTGATGAACCTGGGGCCTTCTGCATGCAAAGTACCTCTACCACTGAACCATCGCCCTTTCCTTAAGTTTGCAGCTTCAGTGGTCGCTATTTAATGCCAACCGCTCCTTCCTACCATCCACTGCTCCTCTGAAACAATCTTCCTTTTTTCTCATGTTTCATTTACATTACAGCCTTCAGGACCTTTTCACTCTGTTCACCAAATACTCTTCATGTTACAGTCTTCAACACGATCATCAAGTGATGGCTTTAGAAGGAAACAAATGTGTATGCCGTCTCTCTGTGTGTATGAAAAAGTCTACCGCCTAATCTAGGCAGAGAGGTTAACTGCATCGCTGAGCATCGTAACAAAGATTTAGGTGTTACAATGCACTGGGAATTTGCCAGCCTTAAGTCTGATGTGGAAAAGGTCTTCATCCTGTCCAAATGAATTCATGTGTGACTCTCCTAATGTCACTGGCAGCCTGCCATGGGTCCCAGGGTCCCTCTACCACATTACCATGCTGTTTTGCTCGCTAGTAAAAATGAGCATGTCACATTGTCACTCAATGATACTGAGCTTCCAACTTTGCCTTCCCCTCCCCTCGCCTGCAAATAATCCCTGGCCGCCTCGCTACGATCCCGGTTGCCTCATGTTGGGAATGTGAAAGGAAAGATGTGGCCGGGGATGCTCACAAAATCCTAAAGAGTTGAAGTGCTTTGGGGACAGCCTCGAGCTAATCTCAGACGTCGCTTTTCCTCTGCGGCAGGAGATTGACGTACCAGCCTCTTTGCGGAGCTCAATTGAGGTCTGGCTTAGATGAAATCAAGATAAAAGGAACGGCCGTCTCAAATATTAATCACCTTCCTTGACTAAGAACATAAGAAGAGGCCCACTGGATCGGACAAGCAGTCTGCCTGATCCAACATCCAGTTTCCATTGTGGCCAACTGAAGGTCTCTGGTCTTCAATCTCTGGTCTTCAGTGGCATGTGGCCCCTGAATCCTGAAGGCTGCATATGGCCGTCCTGGCTGATAGCCAATGATAGCCTTATTCTATGCAACAAAGGGACGCGGGTGGCGCTGTGGGTTAAACCACAGAGCCTAGGACTTGCCGGCTCCCTTGGCCAATAAAGCGAGATGAGCGCCGCAACCCCAGAGTCATCCGCGACTGGACCTAATGGTCAGGGGTCCCTTTACCTTTACCTATGCAACAGGAATGGGGAATCTGCGGCTCACCAAATGTTCCTGGGCTGCATTTCCCATCAGCCCCAGCTAGCAGAAGCAGTAGGGGTGGTGTGTGGTAGTCACAGCTTAGCCACCCATCATCGTCATCATTAGTTAAATTTATATACTGACCTTCACAGACCTGCAGGTCTCAGGGCAAAATTCCATGCAAAAATCCAATATAAAAGCACAAAATGCCTGATAAAAACGAGAACGAGAACTGAACAAACCAATCACTGCCCACTCTCCCTTCCCACAAGCGCATTTAAAAGGGCATTGGAGGTCAACCAGCCAAAGGCCTGGTTGAAGAGGAACGTTTTCGCCTAAAGGTGTATCATGAAGGCACCAGAACCTCCCTGTGGAGAGCATCTCACAAATGGGGAGCCACCACCGAAAAGGCCCTTTCTCATGTTGTTACCCTCTGGACCTCATGTGGAGGAGGCACGTGAAGAAGAGCCTCTGATGATTCTTGCAGAGTCTGGGACGGTTTATATGGGGAAAGGTGGTCCTTGTGGTATTGTGGTTCTGAGCCATTTAAGGCTTTATAGGTCAAAACCAGCGCTTTGAATTGGGCCCAGAAACTAATAGGCAGCCTGCACAGTCAGGCCAGCATCATACCAAATTAAACCATTGGTCTAGTTGGCTCAATCCTGTGTGCACTGACTGGTAGGAATTCTTTGGGGTTTCAGGCAGGAGTCTTTACCTGCCCTGCTTGGAAATCCCATGGATTGAAGCTGGGACAAGGCATAGATCCAGTTCCTGAGCTGTGGCTCTGGCACAGCAGTTTACTTGTGTGTAAAAAGTGAACGCAACACATGAACTGGCTCTTATGTTTCTCTGGAACACAATGAAATGACAGCAGATTGCACTGTATCTCTATGACAAAAGCCATAGTCTTGAATTGTGCAGTGCTGTAGTACCCGTGGCCTACTGTGGCCGCACCAAACTTTCTGAGGTTCATTCTCACACGCACATTGGACGTATAGAAGCAGATGCATGGACTCATCTGTCTCTTCACTCATTGAATGATCAGCCTGATGACTGGGGAGTGGTGATTTGCGTTGCCTAACCCAGTACAGTGGTACCTCGGGTTAAGTACTTAATTCGTTCTGGAGGTCCGTTCTTAACCTGAAACTGTTCTTAACCTGAAGCACCACCTTAGCTAATGGGGCCTCACGCTGCTGCCGCGGCGCCAGAGCACGATTTCTGTTCTTATCCTGAAGCAAAGTTCTTAACCTGAAGCACTATTTCTGGGTTAGCAGAGTCTGTAACCTGAAGCGTATGTAACCTGAAGCGTATGTAACCCGAGGTACCACTGTACCGTGTCTACTTTACAATTTATTTATTTATTTTGCTGTTGCTGCCAAAATGGGGAGGATGGAGAAATTTGCTGGTGGGGAAAAATTAGACCTCCCCCCCCAAAAAACACACCCCTGGGGTTAGCCACCTGGGCTGTAACATAATGTTGCTTCGTCCTGTCTTTTCTACAGTTGACAATGAATAGTCTTTTCCATCCTTAAAGACTTTTCAGTTGTGGAATCCCCAACAACGCCGGTTCTCCCAGAACCGTTTTTATCCCGCTTCCATCTCTTGGAAGCTGCGGGGGGTGAAGGTCTGCCGCAGCAGCAGTGGCATTTCTGCACTTCCAAACGCTCACAGTTTTGTGTCTCATTTCATTAGAACTCGACACAGATGTCAGCCAGCTTTTTCACTGTTTGGCAAGGATTAGGAACTGGACTAAAGCCAGTTAGTGAGATGAAGATAATACGAACAACTGGGAAGGCAGGACACTGTGAGAACCTGACAAAGATGCATTACATACAGGAAATGGTCCAAAGTCATCTTTTAAGGTGGTTTGGGAGCTTGGGGTTCTGTGGATAACCTCCCCATTATATTGGAACCAGTGGCAAAAATATGTTAAGTTGCTTCCAATCCTTCTAAAATGGGTTTTAATATTATGCTTTTGTCTCTGAGATACAGAATCCAAACTGGTCAAGGTCACTGCAGGTGCTTTTTGAAAGACCCTCGATTCCTCCCACCCTGAACTATATTTATCCTAGCCCTGCACCAGCACTGTAGCATCCTATCCAATCTGCACAAGAGGGTGGGGAGCGAGATAGACAGCATCGCAGTGGGGGTCATAGTTATTATTTTTGCTGCTGTTGTTGCTGTCTATTACCCACCCTTTACTCTAAGGTCCCAGGATGGGTTGCAGCGTTAAGACACAGCATTACTAATATAATTATACAGTTTTATATACCGTAATTTTACAATAATAATTATGTTATTTTATATTATATAATTATATAATCGTTAACTCTTTATTTTCAAAAGAGGACACTTGCAGTAGTTTCTACGGCTCTGAACGCCAGTCCAGCATCCAGGCAGCTATTCTCTGGTCTGTACTCTAGGCAGCAGTTGCAGCAACCACTGAATGAATGAATGAATCTTTATTTTAGTCAAGTAACCTTTATTGGCATCACATAAGAACATTCAGAGTACATTCAGAATACATAAGCCAGTGTGATCTCGTCGCCACCCCAACGGCACAGTCACCCCCCAAAGAGCAGAAGAGGTGAGCAATCTGCCCCATCTCTGTGGGTTTCTGGCGAGGGCAGGATCCTGTAGCATACTTCGGCGACCAAAAATCCAATAGAGGAACTTATCTACTGTCTTGGTGAGCTCCTGGTCTCTCCCCTGTATTAAGAAGTGCATAACCTCCTTCTCTGGTTTCCATGTTGGAATACATAGATGGTCTAGAAACTGTTGGCAGAGATCATCATACGTTTTACATTTAAGGGCCATGTGAGCTAGAGTTTCCACCACGCATTGCATGGACAGATCCTATCTCCTTCTGCCAAACCCACAAACCTACCCCAAAGGAGGTTAGAAGGATTAGAATTGAACCTAGCCAGCGAAAAGGCCCTTCTTTCTTGCGGATTATACAAATCTTTATTTGCGTCAGCCATCGGTCATAGCAATAAAATGACAATACGATATACAAATAAAAAGTAAATTATATAAAATACATTTTAGGGTTTTGAATCAATAGTCCAATAGTGGATCTTATTCTGATTGCAACCTTTGCTGTCACCTACTGATCTTGATCTGCCAAGAGAAAGGGCACTGTGGCAGTGGTTGGGCGACTTTCCGTTTGGTCACTTTCCTCTCCCAACTTTCAGTTTTTCTTTCCATCTGGAGTGTTTGTGGAAGAATTCATAATACATGGCATGTATCTGCCCCTCTGCAAATTTTGGGCTTTCCTTCAGCATTCTGATACCTCTCTCTTGTTTTTCAGTTGGCTCTGTTCCGACTCCGTTTCTATCAGCCCTCACGCACCTGAGTTTGCCATTAGATGGAGTGCTATTTGACAATTGCATACCTATGCTAGCCACCATTTGTCAATACTTGGCTGCAGATATACAACGGCAATTATAGTTGACATCCATCTTGTGATGCAATTGTATTGACAACTCATTCCTTGGGCCAGTTTAATTTCTATTCTAGAATTCCAATGCTGAATTTTTAGATCGGATCTCAATTTTGACATTTGGAAGTTCCACATATTTCAGAGCTTTACAAAATGTCATTTTGCATTATTACAAAGAATAGTAGTAAAGAAACAGAACTTGAGCAGTTGGATATAAAAACCCCTGGGCTTCGTTAATTTGATGTTAGTTGGTCTAAGCCACTTTAATGCCTAGGTTGAGGAGAAGTTCTGTTTTGTTCACATTTTAATGCAAAGCTACTTAATCCACACTTCCAAACCAGAATTTCAAAATTCACACATCTCTGAATTTTGCAGTGCAATTCTTCAAGCAAACAATTTGTGCAAACATGCATATGTTAGGGAAATAGTTGCATTAAAATTCATATATTAGAAAACGGTATTCAACAGTGCATTATATTAGGGGAAATTGCTCACAAAGATTATTAGCCAAACCTGCACACAAAACTGTGTTTGCAGGCAGAAATTTGCACTAGAACGCTGACAAATTTTCTAGAGGAAATTTGCAAATTATTGTGGATTGGAAAAGGGAGAAAATGAGAGAAGCAAAATTGACCGATCTTTCCATGCTAAAGTGTTTAATTTAACACCGCACTATCTGCTGTGGTGCGTCAGTTCCTCCACCAGTCCATGATAACACACACTGAGTAAATTGTCTTCCACCTTAATATGTTTTGTAATTTGTTGTTGTTGTTTAGTCGTTTAGTCGTGTCCGACTCTTCGTGACCCCATGGACCAGAGCACGCCAGGCACTCCTGTCTTCCACTGCCTCCCGCAGTTTGGTCAAATTCATGTTGGTAGTTTCAAGAACACTGTCCAACCAGCTCATCCTCTGTCGTCCCCTTTTCCTTGTGCCCTCCATCTTTCCCAACATCAGGGTCTTTTCCAGGGAGTCTTCTCTTCTCATGAGGTGGCCAAAGTATTGGAGCCTCAGCTTCACGATCTGTCCTTCCAGTGAGCACTCAGGGCTGATTTCCTTCAGAATGGATAGGTTTGGTCTTCTTGCAGTCCATGGGACTCTCAAGAGTCTCCTCCAGCACAATAATTCAAAAGCATCAATTCTTCGGTGAACAGCCTTCTTTATGGTCCAGCTCTCACTTCCATACATCACTACTGGGAAAACCATAGCTTTTACTATACGGACCTTTGTTGGCAAGGTGATGTCTCTACTTTTTAAGATGCTGTCTAGGTTTTGCAATTTAGTGGTATATAAATACTTTTATAAATAAAGAAATAAAATGTGTGGTTTTCTCAGACATGAATCCAGCCAGGTTCAATGGGTTTTGCTCTTAAATATGCATGCATCTGATTGCAGCCTTAGTCTTTAATTTTTTGGTTCCATTGCTATTCCTGCATTCAAAAGGAACAGAGGCGTTGTAAAAGAGTTTATCTGAGTGTTCACGTATTTCAAGTTTTACACTGGAGGTTTGTCTGCTGCTGCCACCTACTGGTCATTTTAAGGTTTGAAGTTAAGGTTTTTAAATTGCTCTGTTAAGTTGATTTCCTTGGTCTGTTGCATTTGGTAGACTAGCATGGCCTAAATTAGTTTTGCAGCTTTTATATGTCAGAGGAATTCTGCTGATCTTTTTGGGAATATGATTTTGCTGAGGAAAAGCAAACTCTGTAAGGCTTTAAATCTCAAGCATCTCGTCAGAAGCAAGGTGTTTATTAAATTCGAAAAATAGGTTTATATCTGAATAGGTAGGGCAATTTTCTACGAGGATTACTAATTTCCCAAAGAGACTGCAATGTGTGGCACAACTGCATGTGCACCTACTCAGAAGTAAGTCCCTCAGAGTTCAGTGAGGCTACTCTCATGTAAATCTGCATAGGATTGCACCCAAAGTTCCTTGATGAAAAAATGTCTGTTGTTTGGGCCCTATTTTTCCAGTAAATTTTATTTCTACACCATCTTTGTGATAGGTTGCCTTTGTTTCTAAAGTGAAGATGTGTGTCCTTCTTTGGTATTTGCCTTAGCTTTGCTTTAGCAGCAGCAGCAGCAGTTAAAATTAGCAGGTAATTTATTAGCGTTACTATCGTGATCTTTGCTTTTACAGCCTTCCTTATGCCCTGTAACAAAAAAAGTTACGTAATTGTATTTACCTTTGCTGCTGTGGCCTTTGGACATCTGGAATTAATAATAAACCTGAAGCAGATTCACAGAGCACGACAGCAGAATGACTTCTTAGCAACATCAATGTGCGACTTTAAAAAAATGTAAATCTTCAAATGGAACGTCACACTTGAAGAAGAGTCAGTGGTGGTAAATAGCTAGAGTTTAGCATGTGTGGGTCCCATGCACTTCCACCTCCTCATTTATGGGGTGGTCTAGGGTTGCCCGGCTTCAGTCTAGTGATGGAATCTATTGTTTAAAAGCTGCAGGGTGTTTGTGAAGCCTATTCTGGTCTGGCAGAAGTGTCCATTTTGAATACAGCGGCATAGAGGGTACCACTCTTCTTTGGGGTCACTCCTTTAACATTTAAAACATTGCTGTGTGAATTGTGTTCTTAATGTTGTGCGCCACCCTGGGATCTTTGGATCAAGGGTGGTGTACAAATTGAATGAAAATATTGGTGAGAGGCTCTCCTTTGCGTAAATGACCACTCCTCGTTTTTTAACTTTATCTGATGAAATAAATTCTTGGCCCAATCTCTTATTAATCAATATTTTCCTGTGGAGCCTCATCACATGAGTTTCCTGTAAGCAAATTAAATCCAATTGTTCTTTTTAAGTATATGAAATACTTTCCTCCTTTTTCCGGAGAATTTAGGCCACAAACATTCCAAGTTAAAAGTTGCAGAGCCATGATGATTTCTTTATTTTCCTCCAACTGCTCCCAATAACTCTTCTTCCTCTGTTGGTGGTTTCACCTTCTCTGTCTTGTCCTCTCCCGAAGGTGGTAATGTAGGATCCAATCCTGGTAAAGAGGCTTCTGGCTCCTCCCCCAATCCTTTTTGTAGGTCCTCTTGATGGTCTCTCAAAAGTTCTGTTTCTCCTCCACAGATTTTATTTTAATTTTCTTGCCTTTAAAACTGAAAGATAGGCCTTGAGGAAATTCCCACCTGAAAAAAAATTCTGTTTCCTCTCAGCAGCGTCACCAGGTCCCGGTAGTTGGACCTAAGCTCCAAAAGGAACTTTTGAATGTCTTTAAATATTTCTATCCTTGAGTCTTGTATTATCAATGTATTTCGGTAGTGTGAACTCAAGATTTTATCTCGTTCCTCCTTAGATCGCAAGGTAATCAGGCAGTCTCTCACTCTGTTCTTTCTTGCTCCTCTTCCAAGCCTGAAAGCAGACGTTATCTTGAAATCTTCCTTATCGTTCAATTGCCAAAAATTGGCAAATTCTTGTGTCAAAAAGTCTACCAGGCTCTCTTTCTCAAGCTCAGGTACTGCTCTGATCCTTAAGTTGGTCTGTTTCTCCTTTAGCTCAATGACAGATAACAATTCCTGGTGCGTTCCCAATCTTATGTGATGCTCTTCAACTTGTTTAATTAAAGGTGGTAATTTTTCTTCAGCAGCTACCGCCTTTTCTCTAGCTTCCAAAGCTGTTTTTTGGGTTTCAGCAGATTGTTCCAGTAATTTTTTGATCACATCTGTATTTTCATTAGTCTGTCGAGTCAGCTTATCAATACTTGCAGAGTTTTGTCTAATAGCTTCTAGTGCCTCGGCATTCTGTTGACCCAATTTTTCAAAACCTTCATTAACAATTTTAAATAAACTGGCAAGTCCTTCTTCCCCCTTTGTTTGCATTGGATCATCTCCTTGTGGCCCAGCGATGGATGGCCTGCGCTGTTGCTGTTGAGCAATGTTGCTCTGTTGCCTGCCTTTCCCGGACCTCAAGGTTCTTTCATCCATGGCACTTTATCTAGAAATCAAGGTCACTCTCACAGTTGGAGTTGTTTTGCTGTTAAGCTTTCCCAGGCTGCTGTTGAGTGAAAAATTCCTCAGCCAGTTAGAAACTTTTTCCCCTTTGGCCTCCAGGGGGACACAAGTAATAAAGTAACAAGAATAAAAACTCTTAAAAACTTTTTAAGACCCCCTTCAGCCAAAGAGGCAACTTTTTCCCCCAAAGTTTCAATTTTGTAAAGTTAATAGGCAAGAAGATACATTGTCCATTTAGAGTGCTAACAAAATATCCAATCTTTCCAAACCTGGCAGTCTGTCCCCAGGGATTGAGAGGTGGTCTTCGTTTCCTTATTACTCTTTATTTTACACAAAAATGACAAGAAATACTGTCTCTTCTTCCCCCCCTTCTCCAATTATGGGAGGGAAAATTTTTAAATTTGACGTCTGTGTTTCAGTCTCTTTTGACAGTCTTTGGTATCGAACTCACACAGTCTTTGCTTTAATCCTTTATACAAACCGGGAGGTGGACTTCCTTTACCGGGAGTGGTCATTTACGCAAAGGAGAGCCTCTCACCAAAATTCGTCTTTAAGGATGAACAAGGAAGATTCATAGCAATTGAAATTCAAGTACTAGGAGAATTAATTTTTGATAGTAGGCTTATATGCACCAAATGAGGGAAATCTATATTTTACAAAAAGTTGCATGAGATCTTGATGGACTATATGGACTATAACACTGTTTTTATGGGAGATATGAATGGGGTGGTTTCCACAAATATGGACAAGTCACAAAGAGAGGTAGTCACTAAAGATGGCAGACTACCGAAAACATTCTTTGAATTAACTGACAATATGGATCTGATTGACATTTGGAGAACTAGGAATCCCCTTGGTAGAGAAGGAACCTTTTTTTCTGAAGCCCAAAAGACATGGACAAGAATTGACCAAATCTGGACTACTAGAGGACTGGCACCTAAGGTTAGGAAGGTAGAGATCTGCCCAAAAACATGCTCCGACCATAACGCCGTGAGAATGGAGATGAAGTTAACATCTACTGGTTCCTTCCGATGGAGGATGAATGACACCTTGTTTAGAGATCAAGAGGTGATTAAGAAGGCCCAAAAGACTTTGAGAGACTACTTTGAGATAAATTTGAATACAGCTGTAGAAAAAAGAATAATCTGGGACGCAAGTAAAGCTGTTATGAGGGGCTTCCTGATTCAACAGAATTCAGTTAAGAAGAGGGCCCAAAATGTAAAGAAAGAAAATTTTTTGGAAAAAATAAAGGAGGGCGAGAAGAAACTGAGAGTGAAGCCCAACTCACAAGAGATTCTGAGGGAATAAAATTGCACCAAGTGCAGTATATGAAATTGATAAATCAAGAAGTGGAATGGAAAATTAAACAAATGAGACAAAAGACTTTTGAATCGGCAAATAAATGTGGGAAACTGCTGGCTTGGCAGTTGAAGAAACGACAAAAACTCAATACTATTACTAATTTGGAAGTGGAAGGGAAAAATATCCAGAATCCAGAAGAAATTAGGAAATGCTTCCAGAGATATTTTAAACAATTATACACACAAGGGCCTCAGAAAGAATTTGAAATAGAGCAATTTCTGAAAACCAATGGATTACAAAAATTTCTCAGGATAACAAGATATTGCTGAATTATAAAATTACAGAACAGGAGGTTGAAGGTGCCATTCAGAATATGCAGCTGGGAAAATCTCCAGGACCGGACGGTTTAACCTCAAAATATTACAGAACCCTGAAAGACTGGTTAATTCGACCATTAACTGAGGTTTGCAATGAAATTTTAGAGGGGAAAAGAGCGCCAGAGTCGTGGAAGGACGCATTTATTACACTTATACCAAAGTCTGAGACTGAAAAGACACAGCTTAAGAACTATCGGCCCATATCCCTGTTAAATGTGGATTACAAAATTTTTGCTGACATTTTAGCAAAAAGGCTTAAAAAAGTGCTAAAAGGAGTGATTCACAAGGACCAAGCTGGCTTTCTTCCAGATAGACATCTTTCGGATAACACAAGGAATATAATTGATATTCTGGAGAAGCTGCAAGAGGAGATTAACACTAAAGCAGTTCTGATTTTTGTGGATGCAGAGAAAGCCTTTGATAATATTTCCTGGAGTTTTATGAAGAAAAATCTCCAGGGGATGGGGGTAGGCCAAGAGTTTGAAAATGGTATAAATGCAATTTATTCAGAACAAAAAGCTAAATTAATAGTTAATAATGTGATAACAGAGGAAATTAAGATAGAGAAAGGGACACGACAAGGCTGCCCAATTTCCCCATTACTTTTTATTTCTGTTCTGGAGGTTCTGTTAAATATGATAAGAAGGGACCATTTGATTAAGGGTATAACGGTCGGAGCGAAACAATACAAACTGAAAGCATTTGCGGATGACCTTGTATTGACATTACAGGAGCCAGAATCTAGTACGAAAAGAGCATTAGAACTGATTCAAGAGTTTGGTCAGGTGGCAGGTTTTAAGCTGAATAAGTTTAAAACTAAAGTACTTGAGAAGAATTTAACACCGATTGAAAAAGAGAGGTTTCAGAATGAGACAGGTTTAACAGTGGTAAAAAAAGTGAAATACTTGGGGATTCATATGACAGCTAAAAATGGGAATTTATTTAAAGACAATTATGAAAAGTGTTGGTCGGACATTAAAAAGGATTTAGAAATATGGACAAATTTGAAGCTTTCCTTGTTAGGTCGAATTGCTGTCATCAAGATGAATGTATTGCCAAGAATGCTGTTTTTGTTTCAATCGATACAAATAATAGACAAAATGGATTGTTTTAAGAAGTGGCAGAGAGATATCTCTAAGTTTGTCTGGCAGGGCAAGAGGCCCAGGATAAAATTTAAAATATTGACTGATGCTAAAGAAAGAGGGGATTTGCCCTGCCAGACTTTAAACTTTATTATGAATCAGCAGCTTTCTGCTGGTTGAAGGATTGGTTACTTCTGGAAAATACTGATGTTTTGGACTTAGAAGGTTTCAATAATGTGTTTGGGTGGCATGCATATTTGTGGTATGACAAGGTTAAAGCTCACAAAATATTTAAAAACCATATTGTCAGGAAAGCATTGTTCAATGTCTGGATAAGATATAAAGACTTATTGGAGAATAAAACCCCAAGGTGGCTATCACCAATGGAGGCAAAGGCTCTGAAAAAGTCCAATATGGAGGCCAAGTGGCCAAAATATTGGGAGATCTTGGAACAAGAAGGAGATAAATTCAAATTGCAGAGTTTTGAAAAACTAAAAGATAGAGTGCGAGACTGGTTGCATTATTACCAAATAAGAGAGGTCTATAATTTGGATAGAAAAATTGGCTTCCAGGTGGAAAAATCAAAGTTGGAAATAGAACTGCTAGATCCCAAAACTAAAACACTTTCAAGAATGTATAACTTGCTGCTAAAATGGAATACTCAGGATGAAACGGTAAAATCTGCTATGATTAAATGGGCACAGGATGTTGGACATAACATTATGTTTGCTGACTGGGAACGGTTATGGACCACAGGTACGAAGTTTACAGCATGTAATGCTTTAAAAGAGAATATAATGAAAATGGTGTACAGGTGGTACATGACCCCAGTCAAGCTTGCAAAAATCTACCATTTGCCCGATAATAAATGTTGGAAATGTAATGAAACTGAAGGTACATTCTTTCACCTTTGGTGGACGTGCCCAAAGATTAAGGCCTTCTGGGAAATGATATATAATGAGTTGAAAAAGGTATTTAAGTATACCTTCTTAAAGAAACCAGAGGCCTTCCTCCTGGGCATTGTTGGCCAATTGGTGCCAAAGAAAGATAGAACTTTCTTTATGTATGCAACAGCAGCAGCAAGGATACTTATCGCAAAGTATTGGAAGACACAAGACTTACCCACTCTGGAAGAATGGCAGATGAAGGTAATTGATTATATGGAATTGGCGGAAATGACTGGCAGAATCCGTGACCAGGGAGAAGAGTCGGTGGAAGAAGATTGGAAGAAATTTAAAGACTATCTACAGAAATACTATAAAATTAATGAATGTTAAATTGAGGTCTGATTGAAAATAACTGGTATTGGCAAAAGCCTTGCGTTTAAGAGCATGGAATATTTGATTGATAAGGTTGTAAAAATATCTATTTATAAATAGATTAAGTTTTTGAGTTAAGATAAAGGAAGGAGGGTAAGGATTTGCTGAAAGGAGTTTCTAAATGGAAATACAAGTGGGGAGGTGCGGGGAAGTCAAAGAACTAAGGAAAGATAAGAAGGTTAAATGAAAGTATAAATTTTTAAATTTTTCTGTTTTTTTTTCTTTTTCTTTTTTATGGTTATTGTTATCTTTTGTTTTCCTTTTGTCACTGTTATTGTTGTTTTTTGTCTTTGGAATTTTTGTATTTTTGTATGTTTTGGAATTTTTGTAAAACCAATAAATATTATATTAAAAAAAAAACAAATTGAATGAAAATACATACATACATACATACATACATACACACATACCTGCTCAGCACCTACTTGAATGAGACCAATCTGACTAGGTGATGACACAGGATCAACAACTGGAAGGTAAGGAGGTGCTGTGGATAACAGGTCTCACCCGTGTGATGTTGGACTAATAATAATAATAATAATAATAATAATAATAATTTATTATTTATACCCTGTCCATCTGGCTGGGCCTCCCTGGCCACTCTGGGCGGCTTCCAAAAAAAAATATTAAAATACTGTAATACAACAAACATTAAAAGATTCCCTAATAATAATAATAATAAATTTTATTTATACCCCGCCCTCCCTGGCCAGAGCCGGGCTCAGGGCAGCTAACAACAGTAAAATTACAATAAAAACATAATGGGGGGACCCAATTTAAAATACAGGTTGAAATGCAATTTAAAATGCAGCCTCATCAAAACCATAATGGGAGGGAAACAAAAGGGTCAGACTGAGTCCAAACCAAAGGCCAGGCGGAACAGCTCTGTCTTGCAGGCCCTGCAGAAAGATGTCAAGTCCTGCAGGGCCCTAGTCTCTTGTGACAGAGCATTCCACCAAGTCGGGGCCAGTACTGAAAAGGCCCTGGCCCTAGTTCAGACCAATCTAACCACCTTGCGACTTGGGACCTCCAAAGTGTTATCATTTGTGGACCTTAAGGTCCTCCGCGGGGCATATCAGGAGAGGCTGTCCCGTAGGTATGTGGGTCCTAGGCCGCATAGGGCTTTAAAGGTCAAAACCAGCACCATTGTAGCAGCAGCATGGGATGCATCTGCAGAAATGTGGCTCCTCTGGCACCTCTGGAATAATACATGCCCACATGACCTGCCTTCTTCCTACATGCATAGCAATTGGAAGAGTCTGGTTGCATACAAACTGCATATTCATAAGCACTGTGCATGCCTGTGGCATTTGCCTGTTCATTTAGAAAATGTTTGAACAGGGAGAGAGATAGGGTTAAAAATATAGACCAATAGGAAAGCTGGAGGCGGAGCCTACCTGTGTATAAAAGGGCTTAGCTCGAGGTTTGAGTTAGTTGTTGTTGGGAGTTGTTGGTGGGTAGTTGGTTGGTTTCAGTGGGTTGGCTGGTTGTGAAAGGCAGTTGGAAATAGAGAGGCAGTTAGGGTGAAGGACCCTTCCTTTGTTTTTGTTTTGTTTTGTTTTGTTATGTTTTGTTTTTTCTGGGATCCTTGGAGCAATCAGGGAGTTGCTTCAAAGAGTCAAAATGACAGCAGTAACCGAATCGTTTATTTTGTCATGACAAAAATGGTACAGACAAGCGTTTACCCGATGTCTGCCCCCGAATTCTGAGCTAGCCAGCTTTTTATACATTTGCAGAATACAATACCACCTGATTTATTGTAAACCACCTGATTTATGGGAAATCGAAAGTTATAGCAAGTTCCTATTACCATGTAAGGTCTTGACTCCCTCCTTCCTGCCATGGCCCCACTACACCACGGCCATGTGCATTCCTGAGTTTGCTTATCTCTTTACAACCTTGAATAATAGACATTTGAGCCTGTTCCATCAATGCCAGCCTTGTTCTCCTAACGGACCTCTCCTTTCTGAGAAAGGCCTTTGGGGTTTGCTATGGCCCTACAAGGGCAGTTGGTTCTTGAGTGAGAGGAGGTAGAAGAGATAGAGAGAGGAAAATAAGACTAAGAAAGTAAAGAGCAACAACGTTTGGAATGCCGGAAAGGTTTGTTTGTGTCTGAAATAAAATACACTCTTCTTTATTAATTGAGTACCTGACTGAGGCTGAAGTGATTTTACCGGGGAGGACCTGGTTGGCGGCAGCGGATGAGTGCTGTACGGGTCAATAGTCCGTGAGACGACTGGGGGCTCCATACGAACGCCACATTGCCCCACCCCCTTTTGGCAGTATCCCTGATTGCTTGGACAGAGCCTAGGCACAAACAGTTTGTACTTAGGTATAGGCTTTTTCTCAAGCTATGCATTGAGAGAGAGGAGTGAGCAGGCCCAGTCCTCCTTCCCTTATTATCTCCCTCTTTCTTCAGGCTGGCCCTCCTCCGTTCCTATCTGGTGCTAGGGACAAACAAAGGAACACCCTCTGGTGATTGCCCATGGACATACCCAAGATAATATGCTCCAACTTTAGAACTAAAATAAATAACACAGAACTGGAAAACATCTCTCTCTCTCTCGCTTGGCTGTCATGAGCAGCAGATGCTGAAACCAGCCGAAATAAAGGCTGAAATAAAACTCTCCAGTCGTCATTTCAATTACTTTCCTTCTCACCTTTATTTTTCTAATTATAGATGTGATAGTGACAAGAACAAACAGTTGCCAGTCTGACAGCAGTGGATTTCTGGAAGATCCTTCAGAGCCCTTACCTCTCCAGGTGAGTGGGGACCGAGAAGCCTAAACCTAAAAATATAAATCACACTGTAATCTGGAACAGGTGTTCTGCTGATCGTGAGGTAGGCTTCCTTGCTGACATGCTAAATCCGGTTTTGGATGTCCATGAGAAATATATCACTTCTCGATTGCAGGAATTTTCAGCGGCTATTTTCTGACTGATAAAAGTTCCTGCCTGGATGTTTTCCCTTGCATACTGAGAAGTTCTAAGCCACGAGTAGGCAAACTAAGACCCAGGGGCAGGATCCGGCCCAATGGCCTTCTAAATCCGGCCCACGGACAGTCCAGGAATCAGCGTGTTTTTACACAAGTAGAATGTGTCCTTTTATTTAAAATGAATCTCTGGGTTATTTGTGGGGCCTGCCTGGTGTTTTTACATGAGTAGAATGTGTGCTTTTGTGCTCTGAGCCCCCAAACCCATCTCCATGGAACATAAAGACACAGTGGAGGCAGAATTTAGTTTAAAGGTTAATGGGCAAATTTTGGCCACAACTTTATTGAATACACAAGTGTGACTGGTATTGGCTTAGGCATTAGTATCAAGACTATAACTGGCTCCTGCCCACCCTTTAGGAAGCCTGAAAAGGTAAACAACCAGCAGGGGGAGTGCCAGTGTGGTGTAGTGGTTAAGAGCAGTAGTCTCGTAATCTGGGGAACCGGGTTTGACGTCTCCGCTCCTCCACATGCAGCTGCTGGGTGACCTTGGGCCAGTCACACTTCTTTGAAGTCTCTCAGCCCCACTCACCTCACAGAGTGTTTGTTGTGGGGAGGAAAGGAAAGGAGAATGTTAGCCGCTTTGAGACTCCTTAAAGGAGAGTGAAAGGTGGGATATCAAATCCAAACTCTTCTTCTTCTCTTCTTCTTCATCAATGTACAGTGGTACCTCAGGTTACAGACGCTTCAGGTTACAGACTCTGCTGACCCAGAAATAGTACCTCGGATTAAGAACTTTGCTTCAGGATGAGAACAGAAATTGTGTGGCGGCAGTGGGGCAGCAGTGGGAGGCCCCATTAGCTAAAGTGGTACCTCAGGTTAAGAACAGTTTCAGGTTAAGAACGATTGAATAACTCCAGAACGAATTAAATTCTTAACCCAAGGTACCACTGCATATTGACTAGTGCTTACCCCTGGGGTTCCCGGGGGTCCTGGCATGGCCCTAGCCCCTGCCCGGGTTTCGGACAAGATCCAGACCCCTGGATTCCTTTAATAGAATACCCTATTAACTGGAGGGGCAGGTGATGGCCGCACATCCCCTCCCCACATTTCCCTAAACCAATGCCTAACCGCCAAACCTTACAAAGTTGTGACGATTTCTAAGAGGTAGGCAAAAGCCAAGTGGCCACAGCCAATCTGCCACATTGGAAAAAAATCCTACCCGGCCCCCGGTCCCAAACAGGCAACCAACCGAAGTCCAAAGCAAGGCCAGACACAACCTAACGGGTGGGCGGGCAGGTGTTTGGCAGCGTGAAGCAATAGAGGGTCTCTCATGTTGCACTGCCAAACAAATACCCCCAACCTTGCCACGTTGCCGATTGGCTAAAGGTCAGTGGCATAATTGTGGCACCATTAGCTGGAGCAGGGCAAAGTCCCGCCCACAAACCAGTTGCGGAAGAGTTCCAGAGCCATGCACAACATCCAACTTATTGAAAATGCATCTCTGGGTTATTTGTGGGGAATAGGAATTTGTTCATCCTCTTCCCCAAAAATATAGTCTGGCCCCCCCACAAGGTCTGAGGGACAGTGGACCGGCCCCGTGAAAAAGTTTGCTGACCCTTGTTCTACGCCTAAATTTCAGGTGTGTTGGTGGTGCCCATGCTAATCTTCCAAGTGAGAGTCTTCTTCGCAGCTGAAGGCATATGCCAACTGCAACACACACAGCACAATCCTAGACATGTTTACTCAGAAGTCAGCCCATAAGCTCAATGGGACTCACTGCATTCCAGGAATGCAGGATCCCTCCAGCTGCATGATTCTTTGATTCTACATGGACTCAGAAATAAGTCTAACTGATTTCAGTGGAGCTTACTTCCAGGCTGGAGTCCTAAACACCCTAGGAGTTACGCCCCCTTAAATACAGTGGAGCTTACTTCTGAATAAGCAGGTACTGGGTTGTGTGATTAGAAGAATAGGCCAAAGCCTTCCAGTTCCACTGGCCTTCTACTGTTTGTGAGAGGCTGGGAGTAGGGATGCATGAATCTGTCAATTTGTTTCCCATTTCCCCAATTTTAAGTTCAGTTTACCAACATTCTCACATCTGGTTGTGAATTTAAAAACGATAATCAACAGAATTTTAGTACTGTACGTATGTCTCTTGACAGACACATATAGTTGGGTGCAATTTTGCCTACTATATACAGTTCCCCAAACAATTTCCCCATATATTTTGCCATTTTGTATGTTGTTTTCATATATGCATTTTTGTGTGCACCCCCTCATACAGACCATTTTGTACCCTTTCATACGCTTAAAAAAAAACTTGCAAAAAGCTAAAGTAAGCAGTTGTGCTGAAAAAAATGGGTTGGATTCAGACTAAACAGCAGAATCCTATATATGTCTCCTCAGAAGAACACTGAGTTGAGGTAAGGATTACTCCCAAGTAAGTGCATATAGAATTGCAGTCAAATTGAACTTAGCTCTTAGTGGTTTCTCTTCATCTGACCTTACACCAGATTCACTCCATCGTAATGTTAAAGTGATATTATTTTTCTTCCAGGGCTTGTCTCTGCCTGGTAATTTGAGACTTAGCTGCGGTTCCAAGGATTGTCAAGCATTCCTGCGACAGAGGAAAGATTCTGCTCTGACCAGCCAGGATCTTCTGCCCAGTGCTAGCATATCGAGAGCAGATAGTAGCAATGCTATCTTCATGCCCAGCCTCAGCAGAGAACACACTTTTCAGGGAGAGGAGATATTTTATTCCATAAATGAAGAAGATGATATGTGTGAGACTTGCAGTGGTCCGTTTGAAAGCGCATCTGAAGAAGCCCTACAGGATATGGATGAGGAGGAGTTGCAAGGACAACAGAAGAGAGAAGATAATTGTGTACAAGGCTGCAGTTCACAACCTTGTCCTACTGACAATACAAATCCGGGAGATGCTAGCCCTTTCGATAGGAACGGCCTCTCCTCCTCTAGTGAAAGGCACCAAAGTGTAAGTTCTGCTCTCACAGAGGGAAGCTGTGCGACTGCCATGGGCCTCAGTGGCCACCAAATCAGTAAAGGTACAAGAGGAAGTGAAGAATGTTTGACTGAAGGGGAGGAAACGAGAGACGGGTGTGAAGAAGGTGTTCCCGAAAGTATTGCAGAATGTGTGGAAGGAAAGTACTCTGTGAAGGGTTGTAGAAAGTTGCACTCTCTTGTTGTGGAGGATGTTGCAAGCGGGTGTCGGGAGACTGATAGAAATGGGGCGGTTAGATCCTTGGATATATCTGGAGCACCCAAAATTGAGTGTGACACGGTGGCTTCACAACCAGAGATCAATGCCATCTTGAGAAGTCCTCTTCATGATTCTAGCCTTTCCCCTCACTACTTTGAAGAGGGAGACATTAGAGCCTCGGACACATTGTCAACAGGTGTGGAACTGAGCGAAGAAGGAACTGGTGCTAAAACAAATACTAGCCTTTCAAAATCTGTCACTGTTCAGATGCCTTCGAGACTTATGTCAACGATGCGGAGCTTCTCACTGGGTGAAGCTGCTGTAAAAGGTCAATATCTGGATTTCGCATCCAAGGATGAGCCTCAAATTGCATCAGTACCAGGTATGCCAAAAGAGGACAAGAAGCGAGTGAGAGAAGCTTCTATTCAGACTGAAAGGAGCCACAGAAAGAAAGCAGCTCTCCCTCTGTCTCAGAGTCTCCCTTCGTTTCATGGGCATGGACCTCTTGTGAAGTCTGCATCTCTGGATACAGGGCTTTATGGGAAATACAGATCTTACGGCCCGGAGCCTCTCAATTCCTGCTGTGCCCAGCATAGAGGTCCCTGCTACCCTTTGTGCTCCCATCACTGCTGTTTGCTGTGGCCTTTTCCTTTAGCTCCTTCATGCAGACATCCAGTGGCCTGCTTCTCATCTCATGCCACCATCGAACTGCAGCTTCTGAAAACTCTCAAGCTATTGCAGGACACAGCAATGAGAAATATTTCCTCGGTGAGTATATAACTCAGTGGGCTACCCAGCAAGTGTTCTGCTTGCTTCAGCCCATGGAACCTGTGTTCAAGTAAAATCTGCTATATATTTTGGAAAGTTGTTCATTTGCTTGCCAAGCATTTGAACACCTGGATCATAACCAAATTTGGCAAGATGGTTCTTGAGACCACGCAGGAGGTTTTCATCTATGTTTGTGTATAATTGGGTGCCATTTTGAATCAAGGTGGCAGACTGAACCTTTCAAAACTGCCTTGATTTTAATCACTGGTTTCAAAACAGCACTGATATTTTGCTTCCATAAAATCCCTGAGCTATGTCGGGTATGAAGAGTTTGGATTTGATATCCCGCTTTATCCCTACCCTAAGGAGTCTCAAAGCAGCTAACATTCTCCTTTCTCTTCCTTCCCCACAACAAACACTGTGAGGTGAGTGGGGCTGAGAGACTTCAGAAAAGTGTGACTAGCCCAAGGTCACCCAGCAGCTACATGTGGAGGAGCAGGGATGCAAACCCGGTTCACCAGATTACGAGACTACGGCTCTTAACCACTACACTGGCTCTATAAGGTTGCTATTAATCAATACAGGGGTTTTAAACAGCAGATTAGGAAGCTGTCTTACACAAGGACAGACAATATGCCTAGCTAGTCCAAGAATGTAAACTCTGACCATCTCCAAGGGAAAAACACTGATTTTTCACATCACTTCCTATCTGACATTTTAACTTGAGATTCTTACCTGGCTTCACTTGCCCTTCCTTGCCCTTCTGATACTTCTAATGAGGGGATGGAGTGTGTCTGAGTGGCAAGTCTAATCACAATGTCTGTGGCCCTATTCAGACATGGATTTTATATATACGAAATGTGGGGAGACAGAACCAGGATCTCAACCCACTTGGCCAAACCTCTGAACACCTCGGTTCTTTTCTTTTCTTTTTTTAAAATAATTTTTATTAAGGTTTTAGACAATAAAAAGAGAAAAAAACATACACAATACATATAACAACAACACACACAAAAAGCAACACAAAATTCAACAAAAAAAAAAAAAAAACATAACAATTAAAAACAATATCTCTTTTCCATTTCCATTTTTAAATTACTTACTTTCTGGACTTCCTCATACCTCCCTCTTTTGTATTCCAATCCAAATTATTTGTCCAGCAGTTTCTTTTCCACTTTTTTATGCCCAAACTTTAATTTAATAAAATATTAAAATATATAACTTCAACTTCTTTAAACCTAATCCTTGGTCTTAGTATCATATAACATTAAAATTTTCCCTCTTAATATCAAATTTCCATTTCTTTAAACATCTTTAATCTTAATCTTTAATCTTAGTCTATCATTAACTTTAACCTGTACAGCTGGAAACCACTTATTTTCAATCCAACATCACTCTAACATTCTTTAATTTTGCAGTGTTTCTGAAGATAGTCTTTGAATTTCTTCCAATCTTCCTCCATCGACTCTTCTCCCTGGTCACGGATTCTACCAGTCATTTCCGCCAATTCCATATAGTCCATAAGTTTCATCTGCCATTCCTCCAGCGTGGGAAGTTCTTGTGTCTTCCAATACTTTGCGATGAGTATTCTTGCTGCTGTTGTTGCATACATAAAGAAAGTTCTATCCTTTTTATCACCATTTGGCCGACCATGCCCAGGAGAAAGGCCTCTGGTTTCTTAGGGAAGGTATACTTAAATACCTTTTTAATTCATTATATATCATTTCCCAGAAAGCCTTAATCTTTGGGCACGTCCACCAAAGGTGGAAAAATGTACCTTCAGTTTCTTTACATTTCCAACATTTGTTATCGGGCAAATGATAGATTTTCGCAAGCTTGACTGGGGTTATGTACCACCTGTATATCATTTTCATAATATTCTCTCTTAAGGCATTACATGCCGTAAATTTCATACCTGTGGTCCATAACTGTTCCCAGTCAGCAAACATAATATTATGTCCAACGTCCTGTGCCCATTTAATCATAGCCGATTTTACCGTTTCATCCTGAGTATTCCATTTCAGCAGCAAGTTATACATTCTTGACAAATTCTTAGTTTTGGGTTCTAACAATTCTGTTTCCAATTTGGATCTTTCCACCTGGAAGCCAATTTTCCTGTCCAATTTAAATGCCTCCATTATCTGATAATAATGAAGCCAGTCTCGCACTTTGTCTTTTAGTTTTTCAAAACTCTGCAATTTCAGTCTATCTCCGTCTTGTTCCAAAATTTCCCAATATTTCGGCCATTTGACCTCCATATTGACCTTTTTCAAGGCTTTCGCTTCCATTGGTGACAGCCACCTAGGGGTTTTGTTTTCTAAGAAATCCTTATATCTTAACCAAACATTAAATAGCGCTTTCCTGACAATGTGGTTTCTAAATGCTTTATGTGCTTTGACCTTATCATACCATAAATATGCATGCCATCCAAATACATTATTGAAACCTTCCAAGTCCAAAATGTCAGTGTTTTCAAGAAGTAGCCATTCTTTCAACCAGCAAAAGGCTGCTGATTCATAGTAAAGTTTAAGGTCTGGCAGGGCAAATCCACCTCTTTCCTTTGCATCTGTTAGTATTTTAAATTTTATTCTAGGCTTCTTGCCCTGCCAGACAAATTTAGAAATATCTTTCTGCCACCTCTTGAAACAATCCATTTTGTCCACAATCTGCAAAGTTTGGAACAAAAACAACATTCTAGGCAATACATTCATTTTTATCGCAGCAATACGGCCCAGCAGTGAAAGCTTCAAATTTGACCAAATTTCTAAATCTTTTTCACTTCAGACCAGCATTTTTCATAATTATCTTTAAATAAGTTCCCATTTTTTGCTGTCATGTTAATCCCCAAATATTTAACTTTCTTAACCACTGTTAAACCTGTCTCATTCTGAAACCTCTCTCTTGAACACCTCGGTTCTTTTCAGAGATTTGGCTGAACACTCAGAGGCTGGCAGTGGGGGCACCATGTGTGATCCTGTTCCCCTTTCCGTACATGCAATAAACACAGAATACCCATCTGCACAGGGCCAGGGCCTCCAGGAAAAGGCATACATAAAAGGCATGCATTCCTACAGAAAGGAGACCTGTTTACATGGCATTTTGCCAGTGCTGCCTGTTCCATATTTCACACCATGCATCAAGGAGGGTCTAAATCAGGGGTCAGCAAACTTTTTCAGCAGGGGACTAGTCCACTGTCCCTCATACCTTGTGGGGAAGCCGGACTATATTTTTTGGGGGGGAAATATGAACGAATTCCTATGCCCCACAAATAAACCAGAGATGTGTTTTAAATAAAAGCACGCATTCTACTCATGTAAAAACACGCTGATTCCCGGACCGCCCACAGGCCGGATTGAGATGGTGATTGGGCCAGATCCAGCCCCTGGGCCTTAGTTTGCCTACCCATGGTCTAAATATATGGCCTACATTGATTTCTTTGTGCAGTGGTACCTCAGGTTACATATGCTTCAGGTTACATACGCTTCAGGTTACAGACTCTGCTAACCCAGAAATAGTGCTTCAGGTTAAGAACTTTGCTTCAGGATGAGAACAGAAATTGTGCTCCAGCGGCATGGCGGCAGTGGGAGGCCCCATTAGCTAAAGTGGTGCTTCAGGTTAAGAAAAGTTTCAGGTTAAGTACAGATCTCCGGAACGAATTAAGTACTTAACCTGAGGTACCACTGTATTTGAAACACAAGGTTGTAGCAGTTTCCCAGAGAGTCAGATGGGGCTGGATTTAAGATGAGAGATAGGATTTGGTTGTGAGATATGGCTAAGGTTCAGGTTAAGAGAGAGGGTTTGATTGGAGTTGGGAGTTAGGGAGTGAGATGAGGAGAACTGGTTCTGAGTGAAGCTAAACACCCACACTGGGACTGAGCCTTGCAGCTTGGATAGGGAGACCAGGTTGAGGGTCTGGGGGAGGTATACAGGCAGGAGGGTCCTGGGATGGCTAAGTCTGAGCCAGGAGAGGGAGATCCTGTGGGAATTCAGGCTACTTGGGTCTCAGTCTAGCCAGGATGGGAGAGTTCTTCTAGGTACTGAAGACTCCCAACCTAGTCACAAGGTCTGGGTCTCTTATACCATTTGGAATACCTCAGTTGTGGGATGGTTAAGAGAGTGGGTAACTGAGAAGTGCCCCTCGCTCATGAACCAAAGTATTAAGCTGCAAAGGAAGTGGTATAGTGTTGAAAATATTTAACTGTAATATCTAAACAACAGAAACAGAGTTGAGCATTTGACCATCAATTCTGGACACCTGAACATCTACCACCTGAAGTGTAACACCTGATTTTTAGTACAGTAACTGAAGTTTAAGAGGAACTGTGCCTATGCAGTGGTACCTCAGGTTACAAACGCTTCAGGTTACAGACTCCGCTAACCCAGAAATAGTATCTCGGGTTAAGAACTTTGCTTCAGGATGAGAACAGAAATTGCGCAGCAGCAGCAGGAGGCCCCATTAGCTAAAGTGGTACTTCAGATTAAAAACAGTTTCAGGTTAAGAACGGACCTCCATAACAAATTAAGTACTTAACCCGAGGTACCACTGTAGTAGTGTGTTTAAGCATGAAACATCTTAGAGTTAGTTAAAGGAAACAAGTTAACTTCTACCTGAAAGAACGCACTTCCTGACCCACTTCAGTTCATAAACCATTTTTGTTTAATAAAACTTTTTATTGTTTGTTTGATTATTTTCTGCCTCTCTAATCATTCAGTTTTCCCTCATACATGTCCCCCACTAGATAAGCTGTGGTAAATTGTAGAAACTCGTGTAATTGGTGTACCGTGAGGTGGGCACACTATAATTAATTGGGGGCAATTAGCAGGAGTGGATCCGCCGCATTATTAATGGGTGGTATTAATTGGGTGGATTTGCTACAGAGGCCTTAACCCCTAGTGGTTTGAATATGAACAATATCAGTAAGGAGGAAATGGGGTTCACAACATTGAGATGCCTTTTGCGACATCTTTCCCCCCGCGCCCCCCACCCGGTCATGTCACAATTTTTCTGGAATATTCCAACACTTGAACACTAGATGGCAATGTTTCATTAACTCGCTCACATCTGGCTAAACCCTTTCAAACTGCATGGACAGTACCCTTTTTCTTTCTTGTGAGGACTGATAGAAAAGGTTTTCCCCTCAGGAAACCTAAATGATAATGCAGTGGCCTGACAAGGAAGCAGTGCACCACTGTACTTGGAGCAAAAGAGGAAAAATAGATCAGATTAAATAGCTCTGTTGGTAGAGACTCTTAATTTCAGGGCCGTGGGTTTAACCCCCACATTGGGTAAAAAAAATCTGCATTGCAGGGGATTGGACTAGCCGACCCTTGTGGTCCCTTCCCGCTTAATGCTTCTATGATTCTACTCCTGTTTCACACTTCATTCTATTAAATCATTATCTTATATGGCTTAAAAACAAAACCAGAAAGAGATCACTCTGTCCATATGTTCCTAGCTTTGAGATGTGAGCATGCAATCTCAGGATCTTATGTTCCCTTGACCAGGGCCAGATTTAGGTTTGATGAGGCCCTAAGCTACTGAAGGTAATGGAGCTCTTTATATGTGATATTTTAGGGAGCAGGCTAGCAGGCAGGGCCCATTATAGGAGCCTACACAACACTAAACACTGTTGCTGTATGTAGGCTTTATTTTATTTGTTTTTTATCTTATATTTTGGAAATGTACATCCAGGGTTTTTTCCCCCCTTTAAATTTTTTGGGGGCCCCCAAGAGAGTGAGGCCCTAAGCTATAGCTTGTTTAGCTTATACTGTACCTAAATCCGGCACTGCCCTTGACACATGTACCAGAGAAGTAGAATGGGGATAGGTGGCCTTTGGTAAAACTGGTGAATGTCTATGAAGAGACACAGATATCTGTTTAGGTTTATATAAGGTTAAATGTGTATGTGTAGAAATCTGAATGTCTACCTATAATAGCTGTGGCTATATGTTGAATTTGTTATGTACTGAAGTTCTCACCCTGGGCCAGCAGGGGGATACTGTAGATAGTTTTCACTCAGGTCCACATATGCAAATAAGGGATTGAAAGTGACGTTCAGTGATTGGATAGTTACAGAAAATGGGTACTGTTGCGTTCTAGTGGAGCTCTATATAAGCAGGCTGGCTGAACCCTTCAGTTCAGTTCTGTTCTGGCCTGTGAATAAACAAGAGCTGTTTGAAGAATCGCTGTGTCGTCTGATATGTTCACCCACAACTTAACAGAATTGTTGCCTCTTCTTGATCTTATGTTTAGTGCACAGTCCATGAAATCGAAGTCATGAGGAATTCGTGCCAGAAGTTTCGAGAACGGCTGGATGAGATTGAGCAGCACATGACGGAGCAAGAGGCTCTCTTTTCCAGTGCGATGTCAACGGAGGGGCGGTAATGTGCCTTCATTTCACACCCCAGCCCTGCATTTGTGGCACCGTCATGTGCACCACAAAAAAACACAGACACACACAGTGCATCTTATTGTACACAGAAGGGCTTCTCTTAAAAATGGCGCAGTACGTGCTATTTAAACTTCAGAGGGCTCTCCAAACAAAACAATCATGACAATGGCATAAATTGCATGCAGGGTGGTTTTTCTCCCATCTGGTAGACATGTCATCACATTTCCTACAGCTGTGCAACATCTGCAGTGTCTTTAGGGCGGCGTGAGGGAAATCTAACAATTACCCTTGGTGCCATGGCAAATAGGCTGTGGTTATATAATAAGCATGAATTAATGCACCATCTTGATCTTAAAAGACTAGCAGAGAAAGAGAGAGAACTGAATCCCATGGTTATGAATTTAATTTACTCAGATTACCGTGTTCCAGCTTTAATTCAGTCCTATGAACAAGCGTGTTGCCAAGTATAGGAAATGAATTGTGTCCAGGAGTGAATGTAATTAAACTTGGACATGATTGTCTTTGTAATATGTTTTGATGATATTAAGGGAAGCGGAGGCCTCACTGAGGGTTGCCTTTCTGTCTTTTGTCTTGTCCCCCTGCCGTCTACCACAGAGAGGAAAGAAGACAGTTGCAGGTCTTGCGGCAAGCTGTTCGCCGAGAGGTCGCTGAACTGGAAGGGCAGCTGCAGGATCGGGCTCGCCAGGTTAGGGAGGGAATTCTAATGGTACGTAACCAGAGCTCTTCAGCATCTGCACTGGCCTCCTGGACACAAATCACAGGCCTCTTTTCCTAAAGGACTTAAGGCCACGTAACTCAAGAGGCCAAGCGTTTTGGTCAGACAAGGGACTAGCAACCAGCTAGGCCTCATGAACCCTGTTGTGTGAGGGAAATTGGGATTTGCCTGGTGTAGGAGCACCACATATAAACATGGTAGAAAGCAGGGCTTTTTTTCAGCCGGAACTCACCAGAACTCAGTTCCGGCACCTCTCAGGTGGGCGCCATTGCCATTGTAAGAGAAGGTAAAGGTAAAAAGGTAAAGGATCAGTCAAAGGCAACTGGGGTTGTGGCGCTCATCTCGCTTTCCGGCCAAGGGAGCCAGCGTTTGTCCACAGGCAGCTTTCTGGGTCATGTGGCCAGCAGGAGCAAACCGCTTCTGGCGCAACAGAACACCATGCCGCGAACCAGAGCGCACGGAAATGCCATTTACCTTCCTGCCACAGTGGTGCCTATTTATCTACTTGAACTGGTGTGCTTTCAAACTGCTAGGTTGTCAGGAGCTGGCTCAGAGCAACGGGAGCTCACCCTGTTGCGGGGATTCGAACCACTGACCTTCTGATCGGCAAGCCCAAGAGGCTCAGTGGTTTAACCCACAGCGCCACCCGCGCCCCTATTGTAAGAGAACGAGGGAGGTGTTCATGCTGAGTTCCGGCACCTCTTTTTCTGGAAAAATAGCTCTGGTAGAGGCAAACAACAGCTCAGCAGTTAGTAGCAGCTGGTGTGGTGGGACAGAGTCACCCCTTCTGACATGAACAAACTGGTGCAGCCAATGTGGCATTCCAGCTGGTACATCAGCAGAACCCTAACATTGCTTCCACCCTGCCCCAGTGACTCTGCAGTGGCAAAAGTGTAAAGTTGTTGTTGTTGTTGTTGTTATATTTTATTTATACTCTGCCCATCTGGCTGGGTTTCCCCAACCACTCTGGAGAAGGTGGCGACTCTGTGGTTCCAGCACAGTAGCTGCTACTCTGATTAGTTATGTTGGTTATTTGCAGATTAGTTGCGCTGCAGAAAGCGTGCTGTGAAGACCACACATTCAAGAAACGCAAAATAATTTTTGCTCGGTTTTAATAACAAAAACAAAAACTCCTTTTACACTAAATTACAATATTAATAAGCATGACCCATTCACCAGGGTACTGAGAGAGCTACAGGCTGCTCTTTATATTCCATACCCAACAGCTTACTTACCACAACTTAACGGCACCTGCTATACTGCTTCACAGCTGTAAAACTAGGTCACGTTATTTGCTCTGGCCTTTAAAGAAATACACATCTTGTGAAACAATAATGAACCTTAAAATTTAAAGAGACTATTGAGCAAGTTCATGGATGCTGCAAGTTATCAGGCAACACCTGAACACCCTAAGCAATAGGGCTTAGCAGAAGCAAAATCCAGGAGCTATTCTATACCAGTTGTTACACAGAAGGACTTCTGCTTTAGCTTTGAACTTATGCATTCTCCTCTCCCTTCTCCTCCTCCTCCTCCTCCTCCTCCTACATGGGTTTGGAAACTATGTAATCTATAACTTCTCATTTTCTCCAAACTAGAGAATCGTACTAACTATGGTTAGTCTAAACAAACCCGCTTCAAAAACCATGGTTTGTAGTACACTTCCTTTGAAACAGACCATAGTTACTGTTAATTCCTATAGACAAATAACCCTGAGGCTCATTCGTGTAGCGCTAAACCATGGACTCAGCTAGACTGGCAAAGAAAAAGTGATTTATATGTGTTGTATATGCGATATATCATTGTGCCACCAAGATGGTGATGTGGAGCCCCATTTTTCTCTACCTATTTTCCCTGTTTAAATTTACAATGCTTTAAACTGAAACGCTTCTTTGATGTGTCTGGATCCAGTCCTTGTTTAACTAGGGTTGCCATATTCCAGACAAAAGAGTTGTTGACCTTTTTTCAGAGGGTGGGGAAATCTAAAAAAAGAAAATAATTTTTTCGGCTAGAAGAAAATAGGGTTTTTGGGGGGGCTAGTTTTAAGAAAATCAGCAAAAATAACCCCACTTACAACATGGGTTGCCATACACCCGGGTTTTCCTAGACATTTAAAGCGGACATTAAACATTCTGCCAGGACACCATTTTGGGGATCAAAATCCTGGCAAAGGCCAGGATTTTCCGGACGTATGGCAGCCCTAGTTTAACATTATATCTGAACATCGTCGTTATTATTTACTACTGAGTGGTCCCATCTCTCTCTCTTTTAAATCAATATATCTCTGTGTTTCACACATCTCTTTGCAGCAGCTGAATCAGCTATTAGGTGAACAGTCCAACCTGTGCTCAGAACTTGGAATACCCGATCGGACGGAAGAAAGAGAGCCTAAAACCGGGCACGCTCACAGTACTCTTCCAGATGCTGCTGACGATTTCTTTTCCAGAGCTGGGTATTCCAATAATATCCACCACAGGCCTCCGAGTAGGAGTGCAACAGTCCCCTCAAGCCCCTCCAGCACTTTAGTCAGACAAACGGAGCTGAAGGCATCAACCTCTCTCGCAAGCGGCAAGGCCAATTCTGCGTCGGACCCCAAGGAACTTCACACCAGTAAAAAAGAAGTCAAAAGTCAAAAGATAGACTTCAAGGCCTTCATCCAGAATGTAAGAATCAAGTTGCATTCTGGTTCCTACCAGGGGTGGAACCTCTATTCTCCAGAGCCTTTGAGGGTGGGCAGAGGAAGCACTCAAGTCATAGCTGTCAACTTTCCCCTTTTCTTGCGAGGAATCCTATTCGGAATAAGGGAATTTCCCTTAAAAAAAGGGAATGTTGACAGCTATGACTCAAGTTCCTTGTCGAGTGGGAACCGTCTTGAATAGTGCTGCACAGCTTTGAGTGTATAGGCTACATTTTTGTGGTTGGTTCGCTCTTAACTCTTCTTATTTCTCTCTTTTTCTCCATCAGCTGAAGAAATCTTTCCGAAATTCTTTCAGCAATGACGCAGCAGAAGGAAAAGACTGAGGCGGGGCAATTCCCCCTGACCCGATACCCCAGGATGTTTTCTTGCAAGAACTACCTCAAAGGATTGAAGAGGATTTCCCATAAATGTTCAAAATGCTTTTTTTTTCTTTTGCGAGAGAGCATATCGAATAGAGATGTATACTGGGGAAAGTCCTGAAGGACGAGTGTCGAGAGGCGAGTGCCGAAGAAGTCGTCATAAGAGATTTATTGAAGGCAATATCTAGATGGCTCTTTTGTTATTTAAGATTTTGTGGTCTTTAATAAGGCCCGCCTAGTCCAGCGTCCTGTTCCCACATTGCCCAACCAGGTGCCTTAATCCTCTTTCTTATAGGACTAGTGCCAGGAACAAAGGGAACCTGGATAGTTAGCCATTTTGTGGTTTGCTCCAATAAGGAAGGCTGTCTCTGAACATTTGATTTCCAGCTACGAGGCACCACCTATTGGTAGGTATTTAAAATAGCAGAGACAAGAACTCTTCTCACAGCTGTGACACCAGAAATCTACTTCTTAATGGGGGCTGCATTTCTACAGTATATGCTTGGAATATTAATTTTTGTTTTACTCCAGGAATGTGTTTTGTGGATTCTTCAGGAAAAAGATGTCTAGATTTGGCCTTTTTTTAGTTTAACATTTTGAAAGTTTCCTGGCCTAATAATCCAACCCAGTAAAAGAAGAAAAAAAAAGAGATCCATGACCTTGCCTACATCTCTGTATGCTTTAATTTGGAACTAATACATATTCTGCTTTTTCAAAATATTTCCCCCCCGGCATCTTTATTGAAAGTTAAAAAGTACATAATTATATGTGCACTAAACATGGTGAGCTTGTATAAATCTTTCGCCTTTTACTTTCCCAAAATCTTGCGACTCCCTTTCTGCTTCCTATGGACTAATCCTCTCTTTTAGAAAAGTTTGAAATCAAATGTGTCGGCCTTTGTTTGCAGTTTCCCAATATCTTATACAGTGGAATCTCGGTTTTCGAATGTAATCCATTCCGGAAGACAGTTTGACTTCCGAAACGTTTGAAAACCAAAACCTCAATACAGAAGCCTCAAAATGGAAAAATTTATACAGAGAACTCAACACAGAAGCCGCCTTGGAAGTTTGACTTCTGAGGCGTGTTCGAAAGTGGAAGCATTTCCTTCTGGGTTTCTGGCGTTCAAGTTCCGAAACATTTGTCAACAGAGACGTTTGGAAACCAAGATATGTTGTACTACATAGCTAGGGATGAACACAAGAATAAAATCTGCCTTGGGCTGGTTTCTCACAGGATATCCTACCTGACAAATCCAGATATGTCTTTGAAAAGCTGCACATATTTTTATTTTTTGACATAAATTTTAGGAAGCAGTGGCGTAGCGTGAGGGGTGCAGGGGGGGCCGGGCGCAACATCGGGGGGGGGCGCTCGCACTCGCAGCTCTCTGCCCCTACCTGGCTCACTCACTCTCTCTCAGCGCTGTCACAGATTTCGCAAAAATTTCGCTATTGTCACACGGATCCTCCTCCTAGCCAATCAGGAACTAATCTAGTGGAAGAGACTCGAGTGCTAAAATCCACGGGTTAGGGGGCGCAAATTATTTGCCTTGCCCCGGGTGCTGACAACCCACACTACGCCACTGTTAGGAAGAAAAATCAATGGAGGGGGAACACTTGCAAGATGGTCTGAGTGCTTCTGAGGCAGCCTGGGGGCTGCCTGTCTGCCTTCTGTTGCTGTTTTTAAAAAGTCATTTTGTCTGCCTAAGAGTGACTAGCTAGTGGGCAGGGCGCTTTTTGCCACACATGTTGAAATCAATATAGCAATTCCCCCTGGGAGCGACGAGTCTTTGATATGCTGCTGCCCTCACAGGGAATTTTTACGGATACTGCGTTCAATTTTATGTATTTTTATGTTCAAGGGGACTGAATACAACATGAAACGTACATAAAATCTGTAAAACGTAGCAAGCTCTTAGGCAGCTGAAATTACTTTGTTAGGCAGCCCTCAAACTGCAGCACATGCAACACCACAAGAGTAGGAATCTGGCAGTGAACAGATCCCACAATCCCAAATCGTTGAATTGGTCTGTGCATGTGTCCACTTCAGAATCACACCTTGTCCACTTCTTTCCCCATCCTCATAGACAGCATTGTGCTTGCTGTGATTTAACAACACATACATCATCATCATTATTTGAATTTCTTCTTCTTCTTCTTCTTCTTCTTCTTCTTCTTCTTCTTCTTCTTCTTCTTCTTCTTTTGCAATCACTTGTAGCCGAGTAAGATTGTTTTCCATAAACACAGTTTTAACAAAGAGTCCGTAAGTGACTGTGGAGGCCAATTCTGGATCCACACGTCCTTCCACAGTGGGGACATTGGTTTCCGGGCAGGTGCTGATCATGGTGTGGATTTGCCAGGCGTGCCTTCCTTCTAGCACATTTCTCCCTTGTGTCCTGAGTTCGAGTGTCTTCAAAGCCCATGACACCTTTAGTAAAGGCTGTTCTCCAACTAGAGCGCTCGCAGGCCAGTGTTTCCCAGTTGTCAGTGTTTATACTACATTTTTAAAGATTTGCCTTGAGATAGTCTTTAAACCTGTTTTGTTGACCACCAGCATTACGCTTTCCATTTTTAAGTTCGGAATAGAGTAGTTGCTTTGGAAGACGATCATCAGGCATCTGCACAACATGACCAGTCCAGCGAAGTTGATGTTGAAGAATCATTGCTTCAACACTGGTGATCCTTGCTCCTTCCAGTACACTGATATTAGTTCTCCTGTCTTCCCAAGTGATACCCAGAGGTCTCAGGGCGGTTCACAGAATTGGCCTTTGTTTCCTGGTTTCCACTTTGGATTAACACCAGGGTCACTTCCTCCCTGATCAGTTATATGACCAGCTAATTGGCACAGTACCGTAGTTTTTGCCCTATAGGGCGAAAGGGGGAACTCCCACGGGCTCTCCAGGCTTGCGGATATCTGCCCGAAGCCCGGGACGTGCTGCTCAGCGTGCCCCAGGCTGCAGGCTGCTGTCCGCAAGCCTTGGGAGCCCAGCGGGAACTCCCGTCGGGCTCCCAAGGCTTGCGGATAACTTCCTGAAGACTGGAGAGCGAGAGGGGTCGGTGCGCACTGACTCCTCTCGCTCTCCAGGCTTCAGCGAAAGCCTGCATTCACCCCATAGGACGCACACACATTTCCCCTTCATTTTTGGAGGGGAAAAAGTGTGTCCTATAGGGCAAAAAATACGGTAATTTAGTATACTGCCTATGCACACAATCTGGAGCAGAGGTCAGCAAACTTTTTCTGCGGGGGGCTGGTTCACTGTCCTTCAGAACTTGTGGCACACGCACATGCCTTCCATTCCTCCTTCCCTCAGAGACAGAGCAACTGAGATACCTACACTCAACGTGTGCAAACAGAGTGGGCTGGGCTGGGGAGGGGTCCCCCCCTGGTGCTGGGTCTCGGCTTGTGCGGAGGGGCCGCAGCCACCCCGCCAGGAAGGGCCCATACCCTGGGGTGTCCGTGACCGTTGCTAATGTGCCACTGCCGACCAGCACAAAAGAGTCCTCCTCCTCTTCCTCCCTCCTCACAGGTTCTTCCCGCCCCTTCGCTTCTCCTCTTCCCTTCTCGGAGCTATATTTCAACAAGGTGCCCTGCCCCGCCCTGCCCTGATTGGAACAGCGAGTCTCGGGAAGTGTCGCCATTGGCTGCCGGCTCGTGTCAAACCGGCCAATGGAGGGGAGGCCTGAGGTTACTAAAGCTTCACATTGGCCAGCATTGTGGAAGTCTGAGCAACCTCAGAGCATGCTGGGAGATGTAGTCTGGGGAGGGGTCCCAAAAAAATGGGGCCCGGGAAAAAAATTTGGGGGGGAAATGGCGATTGCGCCAATAGCAGCGATTGCAGAACCGTTCGCGGGCCTTTGGGCCGGATCCGAGCAAATGGGCTGGATCTGGCCCACGGGCCGTAGTTTGCTGACCCCTGATCTGGAGGGTCTCCCTCCCCTCCCCTTCTCTCTGCACCAGGATCTGAATTAATGGCTGATTATATGTCAAAACAACTTGACTGTATATGTCAAACTATACTTCTCAATACTACAGTACTGTACTTCAGAATTCAGGCTTTCACTAATGAATGCTTCTGATAAAAATAACTGTGAGGAAGCAAAGGTAACAACATGGTGCTTATATTTTAGATATATCTCTAGGCAGAAGGGTACCTCAGATATGTTCCCTCTGCCTCTCTCTCAAATACACACCCCTATGAATCAGCCAGTTTGCAACACCAGACGCCACCCACAGCAGGTTCCTGTGGAGAAAAATGTATTTGCCAGAGATCTGTCAATGGATCGGGGCAATTTGGCTGTTAATTCCACAAAACACAAAACATCAAGTTACGTTGGTAGCTAATCTACTGGCCTAAGACTGCCCTGCCTTGTGGCAAATTTCACTCACAGTAAAGGAGAGCAGAGCACTTGAAGTGAAACACTAATATGATAACACTGCGTTGGATCCTGTAATTTAACGAAAGGCAGAAGGCCATGCAACGCTCTGTGGTGAGTGACAAGGTTCCATCAGCAGTAATGAAGTGAGATTCAACAGTCAATCCAGCCTGTTCCTGTATAAGGAATTTGAGGTGGGGACACCAGATTGTCCTTTGCCTTGGGCAGCAAAATATTTTGGGCTGCCCATCACTGATACAGAAAGTCAAGAGGTGTGGGGCAGAAGATGATGTATCGATGGTATCTCACCCCAACCAAGTTGGCAAAAATGTACAGGATTAGAAGAAAAAAATGCTGGAAATGTTTAGATAAGGATGACGATTTTTACTACATGTGGTGGCTATGTTAAAAAACAAAGGCATTTTGGGACAGTATATACAATGAACTAAAAAAAAAAAAAGTTTAGATATACCTTCCATAAAAGGCCAGAGACATTTCTTTTAGGAATGGTTGGGGATGAGATACCAAAAGAAGACGAAAAACTATTTCTGTATGTGGCAACGGCGGCCGCAGTTTTGATAGCTCAAGGATGGA